CTAGTACAAGCAGCCGCACATACACATACACTGACTGACTGACTGAGTTTAGTTTTACGCCGTTTTTTTAGCAATATTCCAGCAATATCACGGCGGGGGACACCAGAAATGGGCTTAACACATTGTGCCCATGTGGGGAATCGAACCCGGGCCTTCGGCGTGACGAGCCAACGCTTTAACCACTAGGCTACCCCACCGCCCCCATACACATACACACGCATGCACGTCGTCATATGAGCGAAATATTCTCAAGCACGACGTTAAACCCAATTTCACCTCACTTCACCATTATGTGATAGAGCTCCTAACAGTCCAAAGACCAGCAATGATTCCACGCCATGAGCTGTATCAGGAAAGCGTTATAATTTAGTAATGTTTTAAACCCAAAACAAAATAATATACGAATTGTGAAAATGTTCGCACTACTGCCAATTAATAAATTTCAATGTAAATGTAATGTCTATCTTTTAAAAAAATGATAAATATTGTCCATCGATCTTTCGTAATGTGGTGAAAGTAAATCATACCATATATTTATCATTTATCCAAACTAGAATAATCCTCAAACGTATCTTTTTCAATATAGATTTACTTGTATCGTCAGTAGTTATCAGCTCTTATTTGTACGAAACTAGAGCTTCATGTTTCGTATCCTAGTGGATATTCACTCCTGTCACAAACATTGTGAAGGTCATCCTTGTAGCTTTATAAACAGGCTTTGAATGACATAACAGTTGTAACGATTGTTAACGTGTTGCCCCTTTTTTGGAATTCTGGGCCATGATGTTGGGTAAATATTGATTCTAGTTATAAGTTCATTATTTTGACGTCCATTCATTCCTTATCTATACTTCCTGAAATAGTTATCATCTACATTGTGAATTATCGCACATTTCCGCCATAATATGTCACAAATAATTGAACGGACTATATTATACAATTGCCAGTAACAGGAACGAGGAAAGCGTTTATAAACTTCCTCAAAACGCTGGAAAACTCGCGGCGGTCTGTAAATAATCGAATCTGGACCAGACAAGCCAGTGATCAACAGCACGAACATCGATCTTCGCAACTGGGATACGATGACATGTGTCAACCAAGTCAGCGAACCTGACCACTCAATCCCGTTAGTGGCCTTTTACGACAAGCATGGATTGTTGAAGATCTTCACGGGTCGTTCGGAATAGCCCGACAAGAGTGTTCGGAAAAGACCCACGTGAATGTCATGGGTGTCCGGCCTGACCGACGAGAGTTGAAAATGTATAAATATCTATCAGATTTTCTGGACAGAATTTCTCTTTATGCGTGAATATGATGCACATTTAATTGATTGTTGTATATATTAATCATTGTTTAATGTAATAAAACACAGCAGGAATTAGTCGGGATATGGGTGTAGCTGTTCGGTAATACCCGACACCCTTCTACATGTGTTTAGACTTGACAGTTGTCCTCTTCTAATGTACGTTAACAGTGATAGCTACCCACGTATTGAAATAACTTTGATATTGTGTAACAGGTGTGAGTGTTAGATTACTGTCATTGAAATGTATGCATACAACCGCGCAGTGTAACAGGTCATGATGACATTCTTCGTGTCAACGGGTTTGGTTGTACTTATAGCGCACATATCCACGCACTAGTGCATGCTCAAGGCCCTGGAATTTTTTCCCTCGATCATTGGATGTCAATCTCAACGGCACATCAAATTATCAATCTCAGCTCCCTGGGGAGCATACAACTCTTGCTGCCACAAGGCATACCGAGTTATTGCGGCTTTCCCATCCTTACGAAGAACCCATTCACAGCTGGGTGGACTGGGGCACATAGTCACAGTACTTTGTCTAAAGCTTACTCTACGTTGCCGTACCCGCAACTAGGTATTTCCACGTATTCATGTGACCACCATCTGGTCATATACCGACGGATTCGTGGGTTCTTTTAAGTGCACAGGGCTGTGTACTGTACACTAGGGATTGTGAAAACACTGAAAGAGTCTGCACACAAAGTTGACTGCAAGGTTTTACACCCGGTCACAGGTGGGCTCGATCCCGGCACCTCATGCCCACTGGATCACTAGCCTGGCGCCTTAGCCAGCTCGCCCACCACGCCCCCTTATAGTGTTGTCTGTAATCATCTTGAGTTCCTAACCTAAACAAATTTAAAGAAATAGCAATAAATAAAACTATTGGTGTGCATGGCCAATCATTAATATTCTTGTGACTGTGTGTGTGTGTATCAAGGAGGACAATATGAGGAATTTAAAACACTATCTACACAGTATGTCTACAAGAAGACAATATAAGGATTTGAGAACACTATCTACACATTATGTCTATTAAAAACATTCCTGCTGGAAGACCTGAGAAAGTAAAACTCGTTCTGCAAAGGATTCAGGAAGAAACACTCACCAGGGATTTACAACCATCTGTGTCCTTGTTATCATTATACGGGATTTGTTTGATACCCGCGCTTCCGGTACCATGTACTCTCTGCCTGTATCCTTATTCATCATGCTTAGCCTAATGGTTAAAGCGTTGGCTCGTCACGCCGAAGACCCGGGTTCGATCCCAACATGGGTATTATGCGTGAAGCCCATTTCTGGTGTCCCCCGCCCTTATATTGCTTGAATATTGCTAACAGTGGCGTAAAACTAAACTCACTCACTCACTCACTCGAGTGCGTAGGACCATGTTTCTTCTTAACGGTCGGTAATGTATTATGTTTCTGTTGATGTAAAATCTGAGGCAAAAACATTTTCTCACAGACGATCCAAAGGCCTGCCCCTAAGGTACTTGAGAACTTGATGAATTTGTTGGTTCAGGCGAGTGTGCACGGGTTCGCCGAGTGTTGTAGCTTAGACATTTGTCCTTCGCATCAAGCTATGCTTCACTGACGTTGTAAGGAGTAGCTATATATAAATTAGTTCGTGGCACAGTTTGACGAATACTGAGCTTATAGTACTTTCCAAGGACACACTGCGCCGGGGAGGAAACCCAGTCGGTCGCCTTGCCCCTCTGTCAGTATTCAGTATCTACCCTCAAATAACAAACACACACACACCCCACCACCCCATCCACTCCCTCCCTCCTCCACCACCCACAATAGTCAGCGGCGTCACAGCTTTACAGACACCATGTATGTCAAGTATGCAGTGATTTGTTCAGCAGGGGATCACATAAATATCTACTGAGGACCCCAGACCTGACAACATGTGTTTTTAATAAATCTAATTTTAATATATTACTTGATATGTACTTCAGCTGTACAACTTATTGCATTTTGTCTTGCATTCCAATGATTCTACTAGGGTTTGAAAGAAGTTCAGATGTATGTTGAGAAATTAAACAACAACTAAACACCCTTTGACACTAACACGTAAACAAGTTAAGAATATTTATTTAAAAAATCTAAACCAATAAAAATACGCCAACGCTTCTGTATGTTGACAACCACTTATACTAGCACAAGTACACTACAACGTATACCGGCTTGTTGACAATTCAAGTTAACCACTGATACTTTGATGTGAACAAGTTAACTGCCACTGTTCGCAACACTCAACATTCATTCAAGGTAACTGTAACTTTGGTGAGAATTTGTTTTATTACTCGATCTTTTGCAGAATTAATTTGAAAACTCATTGGAATATTCCTTTACAGCCAACAACCTCTGATACCTATGTAATATATACAAGTTAACAATATCTGATTCCTACATGTATACAAGCTCTTGCCCTCTGAAACCTACATACAAGCTCACAACCTCTGATACCTATGTAATATATACAAGTTAACAATATCTGATTCCTACATGTATACAAGCTCTTGCCCTCTGAAACCTACATACAAGCTCACAACCTCTGATACCTATGTAATATATACAAGTTAACAATATCTGATACCTACATGTATACAAGCTCTTGCCCTCTGAAACCTACATACAAGCTCACAACCTCTGATACCTATGTAATATATACAAGTTAACATTATCTGATTCCTACAGGTATAGAAGTTAACAACCTTTGATACCATCGTGCATAAATGTTAACAACGTCTGATACCTATGTTTGTTTATACCAGCTACTAGTATCTGATACTGATTTAGTTTACAAGTGCATAATATTATCAATACTGATTTGGTTTAGAGGTGGGGGTGAGGTGAAATGGGCTTTAACGCCGTACGTAAGAACATTTCGCTTATATGACGACGTGCATGCGTGTGGCTGTTTGTACTAGCCCAGACTTAAGCTGGTTTTATAGTGCTAGTCACCGAGATACTATGCCGCAGTTAAACATGAATGCCCCAATCAGACACATTATACGGACTCCGAGCCGACCAGTCCTTGTTGTACCCTATAATGCCGAGCGCCAGGCAGGGACCAACAAGTACCACATTTTAACGTCTTTTGGTATGACGCGGCCGGGGATCGAACCCGCGACCTTCGGGCGGACGGTCTAACCACTACACCACGAAAGCGGTCGATTTCGTTTAGAAGCGCATACTATTATCAATATTGTTCAAGCTTTACTGTAAGTCTATCAGCGAATTATTGACCTGAATACAGAGAGAGAAGTACATCCTCAGACTAATACCCAGTACCTGTCTTAAAGTAGCAGATCATGTACCGTCTGAAATACACCATCAGGAACTTGAATCTAAGTGTTTTCTTTATATGGCGGTAGCCTAGTTGTTAAATTGTAATACCATACTTGTCAAGTCGAAAAATCGGGCTGTATTAAGTGTGTGGAGCGGCCATGCTGTTGACAGAAAATACCTCCCACTCTTCACTTCACCTCCATAGGCCTTTCTCGGACGGGTAAAACTGAATCTTAAATATCAGGTAATCTGGGTGCATCTATCGATACAGCGTCAATATAAGTAATGCTGGTACTCCACAAACATGAATAGTGAGCCTAGATCAATTCACTCCACGCGCTCCCCCCCCTCCTCCTTCTCCCCCCTTGTCACTGTTCCTCCCACTGTATATATAACATGTAACTATATGACACAGTTGGGAAACAACTATTGCTCGTGCGTGGCCAACACAGCATCAAGTGTGCTATCAGAGGCTTTCACAAACCGTGTTGTCTGTCTGGTGAATAGAACCGCCTGCAGCACGCCTCCACGTAAAGCAGCGTAATTAAGCAGTATCATCAGTATAAGGTGAGCCTCGTTAAAACAATTGTATCATTTGCATAACTTTCTTATACGCAGATTCAGAAGGAGGTGACGGGTTGCTCTCTGTCTCCTTTTGAAAGAAATTAGGGCAAAGGTATGTTAAATGTAAATCTGTCGTATGATTAGGACACATTTTGGTTTTTGTGTCAACACATGATAACACGATTACTGAATTGCCAAATAACTAAACCCTTCCTTCATTTTCCGATCTGTCAGCATTTTCTTGACCCGTGTACATCGCACAAGAACAAGTAGACCGCACCTTGTAGGGCTAGCGTTGCCCAGGGACAGGTATGAGGGGCAGAGATCGCCTGACACCGAGATAACGGAGTTTGTTTACTCGTTTAATAACGGATGGTCATCAATAACATCGATTATACGGCACCGCCATTATCATGTTTAGTAGTGGAACACACAACCACTTCACTGTCTTGTTTTATAGGTGTAGCCTTTATCTATTAGTCTCGCTCACAGTTACTGAATCGGATCATTTTCACTTCCACCAAGCCCTCTCGGTTATGTAAAAGCCCCAAAATGAAGTAAATTAAGATTTACTAAAGTGCTGATTCTACCATCTCACTTGGGCTCGCTTTTGGTTTTAATGGAGTTATTTGTTTCTGTCAAAATTATGTATTTTAAGAGACTGGGCACCAGTCTACACACAAGCTGTGCGTCCTGGTGCTGCAGTCATGCATGCATTAGGTCCCGTTTGACCTAATTCGGGTGCAGTGTTGTGCAACGAATGCAGTAACAGCAGTTGCAGTATGAAAAAGCAACAATGTCAGCGTCAATTGTATTGAGACGTCAGCTGATGTCGTAAGTCGGTTTTCCAACATGCAGATAATGATCTTTTAAAACTAGTCTCAAATACTTCAAACAAGTGTTGTTGTAAACTGTAAACTACATGCAGCTGTTTTGTTTGGATTAGTTGTTGTTGTTGTTGTTGTTTAACGCCGCACAAGCACGTAGATAAAACGCAGACGTGTTGAAATTGTTTCTGCTGAACTGTAGGTTGGTTCGACATGTCACGATGTGATCATCGCTCCAATGCACCTAAGTGATTCGTCAACCGAGTGGATTGCACAGGCGGTGAAAGTTGTATTGTGTTGAATTTGTTTTGTGTTGAGCTGTCCGTTTGTATTGCACGTGTGAATGAGGAACCTAGCGTATCATTACATTGAAATCAATTTGAGCTTAATATTGTTCCATGGTCAATGGGGGCGGTGGGGTAGCCTAGTGGTTAAAGCGTTGGCTCGTCACGCCATAGATCCGGGTTCGCATCCCCACATGGGTACAATGTGTGAAGCCCATTTCTGGTGTCCCCCGCCGTGATGTTGCTGGAATATTGCTAAAAGCGGCGTAAAACCAAAACTCAGTCAGTCAGTCCATGCTCAATATCGCAATGTTGATGAAAATGTTATTATATGGAACTTTGTTTCACATTTTTTATGATAACTTCTGTTATGTAAATAAAATTATTAAAAAACAATCGATATGACCGGCCACAAATATGCTACCATTGTCACCAGAATAGACAAACTGGAGTCGATTTCATGTGGTCCTGCTGTGATTCTGGCCTTTATATATACTGCTCGACTTCACTACATGACCAAACCAATGCCACTCCGACGGATGTCAATTCATGGGCGGTGGGGTAGCCTAGTAGTTAAAGCGCTCGCTCGTCACGCCGAAGACCCGGGTTCGATTCCCCACATAGTTACTATTTGTAAAGCCCATTTCTGGTGTCCCCCACCGTGATATTGTTGGAATATTGCTAAACCCATACCGGTCACTAATTCAATGTCAGTACTACTTCCGGCTGCGAAGCCTCGTCATAAAATGACTGTTATCAACTTGTTATCAACTTTCCTATCAAAGAGGGGGGCGGTGGGGTAGCCTAGTGGTTAAAGCGTCCGCTCGTCACGCGGAAGACCCGGGTTCGGTTCCCCACATGGGTACAGTGTGTGAAGCCCATTTCTGCTGTCCCCCGCCGTGATATTGCTGGGAGATTGCTAAAAGCGGCGTATAACTATACTCACTCACTCACTCACTCACTCTTATCAAAGACTCACTGACGTAATGCAGCTGTAGTGTCCCTGCCTTTCATGTTGTACTTTCCATGCATTTCACATAAACAAGCTACGTGGCTTATTGGTCAGTCGGTGTACTGAAGTATCTGTCCCTGTGTAGCATGTGTCACGTCCGTGTGAGATCACAGTGCCGTCACGACATGGGGTGTCACTGTGTCTCTGTGTGACGTCACACACCATTGTTCTTAACAACATGGAGCCTGCCATGGGCTCTTCTCGTCAAACCTTTTCCTACACTTCCAAAGTGAGACATTATATAAAGAGAGTTTCATACACAGTTTTTACATTGGTTTATGCCCTTATCAAAAGTTCAAATCGGATATTTTTACTTACAATTCTTGGACATCAGGATTTCACAGACATCACAGTAAGTGCTACATTCGCCACTGCAACTGGCAAACAACCGAACTGCTGTTTTCGAAACTAACAATTAGTCTACGAAAATTTACGCCCTTTGACATCACAAAAGATATCCACATTTAAAAGGTGCCCCATTGAAATAAGATATTCAGAACCTAAACATGAGAGAAAATTTAATCTCGTTTTAAGTCATTTAGGACTTTTGCATTACATACGTGGACATTTTAGAAAAATGTAGGACTGTAAGATAAAACTTCAGAAAAATCTAGGTTTATTTCATTTAGGGCTATTGCATTACATACGTGAACGAAACAGAAACAAATGTAGGGACTGTAAGAAAGACTAACTAAACTCTATTCATGATTAACAGGGACTGTGGGGTAGCCTAGTGGTTAAAGCGTTCGCTCGTCAAGCCGAAGACCCGGGTTCGAATCCCCACATGGGCACATTGTGTGAAGCCCATTTCTGGTGTCCCCCGCCGTGATATTGCTGGAATATTGCTAAAAGCGGCGTAAAACCAAACTCACTCACTCTTTGCAAACTCACAGGTGACTCTGACGTAGCTTTATATGGTTAATACAAGGCTACCGTTAAGGACTGGCTGCTATGCAAGTGAGGAAATCTTTCAACGTAACTGTTCAAACGTAACCCGCATTATAAAAACGCATATTCTATGGGCTGTACAAATGTTTATTTAAACGATTTTCTGATAATTACAAACTGCAAAGAAACAATATTGACAAACTTTATGGAAAATCACTGGAAGTGGAACAAAATTGTCCTCAAAGACACTTCCAAACACGACAAGAAATCACCTCATGATAAATATATGAAAGAAAGACTAAATTAGTCCTCTTTGAAAAGAAACACATTCTGCATCAAAGTCTCCAGTCGAGCAGCTCAAACATAAATGTCTCACTCATGATTAACAATTGTTTAATAAGTTTAGTTTACCGGTATGTGTCTCATTGCGGACATTGAGGTCTCTATAGACATGTATGTCTCCAGCGGACTGTGTAACTATGAAGCCGTCTGAGGTCCCCTGATACAGAACGGGGATATTCTAAGGCTATCCGGCAAGCCATTGATATATAATTCGCTGACGCTTGCAAATGTCATGTGGAAACACGATTTTAATCTTTTTAAACACAACTATTTTAAGCGGGTGAATTAAATTATAGTTAGCGGCCCTGGCATATAGAAATCTCAACCATCACTTTTCTTAAGTAAACTTACAGTATTTAGTTAGGGAAGATTGTTCTGTTGTAGCTTTTAGTTATCCTAGGCAAACGAAAATCAGCGATCAGTGAAAAGAGTACCCGAATGTCACGCAATTCGCGTGCAACGTTTTCTACCTTTGGTAATGCGCATGTTTTTCGGCGCAGCTCTGCCTCCGTTCCATCTTGTGTTTTTGCCTCAACTTCGCCATTGTTTTGCTGATTACTAATTGTGCATCTAAATGTGCATTCTTGTAGTATATTTAAATACATATATCATATTTTACTGTACAGGTTCTTACATGGCCCCGAGAGACCAGTGAACAACGTATTTATCTTACGAACACCTCAATGTTAATTTTGAACTGTTTGAAGCACGGGTATTGGATCATAATAAGGAGTACCGGAGTTAGGCAACAGCCCAAACACTACTCACACGAAGTACCAAACGAATTCCAACAGTTCGGCATTTCCAGCGGGTAACATAGTAAATGTTACCCGCTTGTAAGCGGGATACATTGATTGTCTTAGCCAATCAGAAAACGACATTTATGTTTGAGCTAAGGTAAATTATGTTAATCAGCAGGCCCGGTGTAATTGGGCGACGTTGAAGGGAGATTGTCGTCTCCGAAGTCCGCGTCTTGTTTTTATAAGGACCTGATGAGTAGCGTCCACTCTTCCAGTCACTGCTAGGCCATGCGTGGTCGACCTGCTACTGGTTGTCTCCTGGTGGTCACCGCTGGACGCTCGACTGGAGACTTTGATGCAGAATGTGTTTCTTTTCAAAGAGGACTAATTTAGTCTTTCTTTCATATATTTATCATGAGGTGATTTCTGGTGTGTTTGGAGGTGTCTTTGAGGACAATTTTGTTCCACTTCCAGTGATTTTCCATAAAGTTTGTCAATATTGTTTCTTTGCAGTTTGTAATTATCAGAAAATCGTTTAAATAAACATTTGTACAGCCCATAGCCTATGCGTTTTTACAATACGGGTTACGTTTGAACAGATACCTTGAAAGATTTCCTCACTTGTATAGCAGCCAGTCCTTAACGGTAGCCTTGTATTAACCATATAAAGCTACGTCAGAGTCACCTGTGAGTTTCCAAAGAGTGAGTGAGTTTAGTTTTACGCCGCTTTTAGCAATATTCCAGCAACATCACGGCGGGGGACAGCAGAAATGGGCTTCACATATTGTACCCATGTCGGGTATCGAACCCGGGTCTTCGGCTTGACGAGCGGACGCTTTACCCACTAGGCTACCTTACCGACCAAGGACGCTATAGCAGTCTGTGAGGACGGGTACACTTTTCTTGACATTCTTTCAGTCATTTTTTAGGATGCGACCATTACGTGGAAGTAGCTTCTCAATGGTATCATAGGCTACGTGATTATGAATGGTGAACGCTTGAACCTACGGGTGTGCTCCAGTCACATAATAATAATGATAACTCTAACATCACTTGAATCAAACTTAGGAATTGCTACTCTCAAAAGTGGGTTTATGTGACACTCCTAAACAATTCCCTGCTAAATTCCCGTAATTTATCGCCAACCTTACTTCAGTAGTCCTCGTTTGTGTTTGTGACTGGAGAGGTTGCCTAGGTGTTAAACAATGTAACGTCACAGTATTTCCCTGTGATCGATGACGACATTGATGCGATGTATGAAGCCTGTCGTAGAATATAATGAATACTAAATATTCATTGAACATGTAAGGAGGTATTCCCTTAGGGGAACAAAATATATTTGGTTAATAGCAAAATGATGTCAAACTATTGAAAAACTGCAGAAAGTATCATATGGGCATAATTTTTTCACGTAGTTTTTCACGTAGCCACCAAATGCTGAACATGGGTCTGTCGGTCGGGAAAAAAACCCTAAAAAGACCCAACTTAATAAAGACAAAATTATCCGAATAATGTTCTTGATTCCCATTTATTTTAATGTAATTCTTATTACAATTTCTCGCGTTCTTTGGACTTGTGGCAGCGACTGATCTTAAGATAAATATTTTATGTGACGAGGAGGTACGTTTTAGGTTCGAGTCGGAGGTGTTGGAATGAAAAAAAGTTGGGGTTGTTGTTGTTTGTTGTTTTTTTGGGGGGGAGGTGGTCGGCAATAAAATTAGAAGGGTCGGTTGGGCGATTAGAAACACACCAAAAAAATGCTTCCTTATGTGATTGTTGCTATATGTAGGAGGTCAATGGAATTATTGTACTGTGGTATTAAGTTTATGACTGGACCATTAACCAGCAGCTATCACTGAATACTTCTTATGTTCGTACCTTCCACTGAATACTTCACTGAATACTTCTTATGTTCGTACCTTCCATTATCATGCTGACAATGGGCTGGCTGTGTTGAGAGTAATATGGGGAATGTGTGTAATAGTAGCGGAAAGGATCATTACATGTTGTGTAGTCTTGAATACATTTTCTTGATTTAATTCAAAACTAGGTTTAAGGAAAGGTAGCTGGGCGATAGGAATGTTTGTTAAACGTAATGTAGTCCCACTGTGGAAGTACTGTCATCAAAGTACATTTGTGACGTCATTTCATTGTCTGCTCGCTCCATTACCTTTCAGGAATGGAGCGATGTGTACCAGTTTCAAACTTAAGACTTCATTTTGTCATTTACACATTTAATTTTGATAACAGAAATATTACAATACTTTGAATGTAATTGAAGTAGGGTAATATCCTCGTAGCTCTCCATTCCCTAAAAATAATTGTTGTGGCTGGTATTTTGGTTTTGTACTTTACCTGTTGTCAGGTGTCGGGGTGTCTTGTCCAGTGTTTGTTTTACCTCTATACATACAATCACAATCTACAGCTGGCCTATAGATAACGGCGTTTTAAGGACTGGTTCATGTTGTACAGCCAATGTGTCATCAGAGTGACACTGTCAGGATAATTATAACAGGGTAACAACAAACATTCAGGGCATTACTATTCGACACTTGAAGTATACCTGACGTGAATGGATTGGAATGTTCACATAATTAGATTATACGAAGTATGATTAGTTAGGACAAGTAAAACTGTCTGGGGTATTTAGGATCAAGACTTACGTGCAACAGTGGGAAAAGTTGACTTTTGCGACATTCCTCTCGATAAATGTATTTGAATGATATCAAAACAATTGTGAGGTACATGTTAGAACGGATTTGATATCGACTGGTTGCAATAATTGTTCAAGGTACAAGGTAACACGCTCTCAGGTGTGTTCACACTATCAACCACAGGTTTCTCTGATTTAAAAAGCTGGCACAAAAATGTGAAAAACTAAGACATTTCTGGTAACATTCACTCACTTGATGAATTATATGGACTATACATCGGGCAATGGGGCAGCTTGGACGTTAAAGACGATATAACGGGGCAATGGGTTAGCTTGGACGTTAAAGATGATAATACGGGGCAGTGGGTTAGCTTGGACGTTAAAGATGATAATACAGGGCAGTGGGTTAGCTTGGACGTTAAAGATGATAATACGGGACAGTGGGTTAGCTTGGACGTTAAAGATGATAATACAATGGGGGTAGCCTGGACGGGACAGTGGCAATTAGCTTGGACGTTAAAGATGATAATACGTTAAAGAATGTATACAACGGGACAATGGGGTAGCCTGGACGTTAAAGATGATGCAACCGGGGCAATGGGGTAGCCTGGACGTTAAAGATGATATGTACAACGGGACAATGGAGTAGCCTGGACGTTAAAGACGATGCAATGGGGTAGCCTGGACGTTAAAGACGATATGTACAACGGGACAATGGGGTAGCTTGGACGTTAAAGACGATACAACGGGGCAATGGGGTAGCCTGGACGTTAAAGACGATACAACGGGGCAATGGGGTAGCCTGGACGTTAAAGATGATGCAACGGGGCAATGGGATAGCCTGGACGTTAAAGACGATATAACGGGACAATGTGGTAGCGTGAACGTTAAAGACGATATAACGGGGCAATGGGGTAGCCTGAACGTTAAAGACCATACAACGGGGCAACGGGGTAGCCTGGACGTTAAAGACGATATAACGGGGCAATGGGGTAGCCTGAACGTTTAAGACCATACAACGGGGCAACGGGGTAGCCTGGACGTTAAAGACGATATAACGGGGCAATGGGGTAGCCTGAACGTTTAAGACCATACAACGGGGCAACGGGGTAGCCTGGACGTTAAAGACGATATAACGGGGCAATGGGGTAGCCTGAACGTTTAAGACCATACAACGGGGCAACGGGGTAGCCTGGACGTTAAAGACGATATAACGGGGCAATGGGGTAGCCTGAACGTTTAAGACGATACAACGGGGCAATGTGGTAGCCTGGACGTTATGGACATTATCTGAATGTGGTAGTTCGGACGTTAGGAACGATATATCGGGCAATGTTGCAGCCTGGATGTTATGGACAATATCTGAGGCAATGTGGCAGCCTGGGTCTCGATTTTTGAAGCTCTCTTAGCGCTAAGATAGTCGTAAGTCCCATACATTAACATTAACTTACGAATATCTTAGCGCTAAGAGAGCTTCGAAAATCTAGGCCCTGTACGTGAGGAACGATGTAAGGGGCAACGTGGCAGTCTGGACGTGAGGAACGATGTAAGGGGCAATATGGCAGTCTGGACGTGAGGAACGATGTAATGGGCAATGTAGCAGTCTGTACGTGATTAACGATGTAAGGGGCAACGTGGCAGTCTGGACGTGAGGAACGATGTAATGGGCAATGTGACAGTTTGGACGTGAGGAACGATGTAATGGGCAATGAGGCAGTCTGGACGTGAGAAACGATGTAATGGGCAATGAGGCAGTCTGGACGTGAGGAACGGATGTGACAGTCTGACGTGAGGGGCAATGTAATGGGCAGTCTGGACGTGAGGAACGATGTAATGGGCAATGTGACAGTCTGGACGTGAGGAAGGATGTAGGAGGCAATGTGACAGTCTGGACGTGAGGCAGTCTGGACGTGAGAGGAAGGATGTAAGGGGCAATGTGACAGTCTGGACGTGAGGAAGGATGTAAGGGGCAATGTTGCAGTCTGGACGTGAGGAACGATGTAAGGGGCAATGAGGTAGCTTGGACGCCATGAACAATATTTGCGATAGATTACTAATGGACGATACGATCAGTTTGCAATATACGAGAAAGGCTCTTGTATGCAGCTCTCTGTAAAGTAACCGTGAGGTGTTTCAAATAACTGCTGGGGTAAAAGCATACTAAAAGCATACTAAAAGCATACTTAGCTGAAAACGTTAGGTAAACATAATGCCCGTATCATTTAGTTAACCATTGAATAACCAGTTCTTGTTTGTTTCGTAGAACGTGTGAAGCCAATTTCTCGTGTTCCCCGCCGTGATATTGCTGCAATATTGCTAAGAGCGACGTAAAACTTAACTCACTCACTCTTCTTTGTTTCAATGGTACAACGTGTGAAGCCAATATCTCGTGTTCCCCGCCGTGATATTGCTGCAATATTGCTAAGAGCGGCATAAACCTTAACTCACTCACTATTGTTTGTTTCAATCATCAAACATGGGCGTAAATCTTCTTTTGCCTGAAAGTTCACATTGAGGTCGAGAAACTCTTAAAAACCTTAATTGTAGACGCACTGTAACTAATTTAAAACAAACAGACTAAATGCTTCTCGCTGGACAAACACATTCAGAGAGATGGGTAGTGAAAATACATTCCTGCTGTTTTTTTCGAGACGCCAGATCTTTCCAATGCCTATAAGTTGGTTGATTGGTATTTAACGCCGCATTCAGCAATATTCCAGCTATATGGATGTCAGATGGTAGTCATGTCGATTTCATTTGACCTTATTCTTGAGGTTTGAAGTCAACATATGTACATACATGTCAAATGTGGACCAGACCGTTTACGGTTGACGTCAACCCGGCCCCCGTTACTGACGACGTACTTATCGGGGGCACTGGCTCATAGACAACATGAACTTGAGATAAAGACGCTGTCTTCAATCTCTTGAATCCATAAGAGAACGATTTATAGGCGTAATAACACAAGTAGTAGGTTTGTCAGGTTAAATGCAAGGTAAATACAATGTCGGTACACATGTAATATAAATCCCCACTGTTCTCTTTTGCTGACGTTGCAGAACTAGGTCTCTCGGCAGGGAGTTTTCTAGAGCTGTTTACAACGTCTAAGGAACGGCGTCAGACTAGACAGCTACGTCAGCATAAATCCACTGCCATCGACGATGTCAAGTTCCCTAAACATCCGGAATTTCAGTTTAAGGTAAGGGTGTAAATGACAATTTATGCTATTAAGAAAATAAAATTTACAGATGCTATAAATCCGAAGCACAAGCAGTTGACGTGATGACATCCCCTCGATGTCGTGGTGTAGTTCACAGCCAACGCCCCAAAACGTAATTTTAAACCCTCGATGTTGTTGAAGACGTTAAAGTACGAAAATTACGATCGTCTTAGCTCTGGAATGGCGCCCTGGTACGGGGGAGGTTGTTGGGGCGATAGGGGAGCTCAGTTTGACATTTTCTTCCCGATTTCCGCTGTTAAACGCTTCTTTCATAAAACAGTATTTCAGTTATATTTCAGATATGGGTTTTCAATTTCGATGTACATGCAATATTCGGAATTGCACCTAAGCAATCGAGTGCCATGGTGCTGTCATACCAAAAAAGCATAATTTTATTCTATTCTACATTGTAAGTTTTGGTTTAGGATTTGGTGTGTTATATGTTAACTCATTTTGGGTATAACACAAGAATTCAGATTTCGCCTCACGGTCTAAAACCATTAAAACACAACATCCTCATAATCTAAACATGTTTATAATATAAATTCAAGCTTGTTTACAATTTATAACATGTAGAAAGCTTAAACAGTTAGAATTTCACCGGGTTTAAATATACTTCGAATATTGATATAGGCCTGATGCATGCCATCAGGTAATAAGTCAGATATGGATATGATGTATAATGATATATCCATTGTGCAAATCAGATTCAAGGAGACTTGCAAACACGAATATCCGTTTCTATATAGAGATAATAAATGTGCAAATGAGAAGATCTAGATGTACATTTTCTTTAGCAGCACAAGCATAAATGTTAAGGTCTACAAATCAATGAACATTACAATTTGAAATCTTGCATAAATGTTGTTGTTGCTCTTCTAATACTGGCAGACTTATCCTGTCATTGTAAAGGGCAGCAACTGCTGGACGCCTTAAATAACAAACCAGCTCCCCCTTGGAAGAATCGTAAGGTTTGCAGGCGAGATGTCGATTGCCTGGCATCTTCTATATCAACACATGATGTTTGGCGTTAAACGGCCTTAAACCAAAGTCACTCACTCACTGTTTAATACCTATATCCTGACACTTACACGGATACGATTACCCACCGTACTAGCGTAGTTTCACGTATGTTGCGATTAAAGCTGCACAGATGACCTGTTTTCCAGCAATGGGTTAAGTCGACACCGTTATTACCGGCCCAGGATTCCGCGGAACCGGTATAGTCGACCATGGTACTCCAACAGACGAACGAAGCCCACGGTTTCGGAACGCGACAGGCGCTTCAGGGACTGGTTGAGAGAATATCAGAGGAAGAGAGAAAACATTGGCAGTGGCAATGACGGGTCAGGTCAGAATTTTGAAGTACATCAGAAGTTACAATTATTTTTTCAAATACAAGTGTTATGTTTTCATATTGAATTGGCCAGGCTTTTACATATACCTTCACATACCCTGGGTAAATAACAGGTTGCAATGAATTTCAGTTGTAAATACCAAACGGTTCATGCCGAGGGCGGCAAATATATTAATTACCATTTAGTGTTTCTGAAACAGACAACGATGAAGACGAAACTGAAGAACCGGAAGTGCCAGACACTGATCTGTCAACGAAACTGCACGTGACCAACCTTGACCTTAACATAGCGGAGAACACCAAGCAGCACCACACTGACATGTATGAGTGCACAGAGGTCAGGGGTCGGGAGGAAGCCGAGCTGGTGGTCAGAAGAGGTCAGCCCTTCCTCATCACCATCACCTTCGACAGACCTTACGACATCGACAAGAACGACATCACGCTCATGTTGAGCTTAGGTAAGTATACTTCACATCAATCTACACACACAAATGTATCTAGCCCTTTGTTATAAATGACAGTATGTTGTGCAGAGTTCTCCACCCTGACGCTTCCAGGATCTGCTTGATCTGCTGGTTTCGGTTAAGATCCTTGGAATATTACCATATCCCGACCTTTCCGTACTGTGTACAACTCTGCGGTTTATCCTTCATGACTAGTCCGTGCTAGTTAGACACCAGTAGCTCATACATACTCATAACTAAATCCCGGTTACTACTGAGGTAAAGCTCATAAGCTCAGAATACACTGTATAGAGGCCGAACTTTGACGAATATCGAAAGAACAGGTCTCTAGGTCTTACAAAGGTACAAATTATATAAATTTAGGAAATATATCTCGAAATACAATAAAACATTTAAAGCCTCAGTGGGTCGCTCAATCCGCATACCGAATTTGTCAGAGCGGTACTCGTCGCGTCGGGCTGCACGTTGAGAGGTTACCTACATGCATATATTTATGTCAAAATGTACATGTGTATTAAATCACGATTATATTTGCTTCCTGCATACCACGTTACTTTAGCTGGGACCCGGATGCTGTGTGCTGACGGCGTCTAAAAAGACCCCAAATTCCGGGTAGCAAAAGGAGCTGGCAACTTCAGTACAAGTCCCCTTAAGTGCATGTTTGCTCTGATGACAGTCCGATTTTGCAAATAGGTAGTAGGTATATATCCTTGAAGATTCAGGTTACATAGGAATTGCAACCCATGCGTTTTAATTTTTCGTAAGAGGCGACATACGGGATCGGTGGTTCAGGCTGACGGCTACCAAAGACTAACCCCAGGTTGATGTTTGCTCTGATGACAGTCCGATTTTGCAGTAGGTATATATCCTTGAAGATTCCCAATTGTGTAGATACTTGCATGTCATGCATTGATCTCCGGATTGTGATGTTGCTGACTGCGGCATTAGACAACAGACCAACCAACCGTTTCAGTGTGTGGGATGTTGCTTCCGACGTTATCAGGTTCCCTTCCACGTTACTGTTGCAGCGTCTGACGAGAACAACAGCACTGTCAAAGAGACCATCAAGGTTGGAGAGGGTAGGGACACGTCCTATAAGCCACGGAGATGGGGCGCCATCATCGCCAAAAAGGGAGACAGATCTCTCACTGTAGAAGTGTTCTCCCCTGCATCTACCCCTGTCGGAGTTTGGGATTTGATTGTCAGGACCACCGTGGACGTCGAGAACGGCAAAGACCTCATCTGGCAGTACAACCACAACGAAGACATCAACATCATCTTTAATCCTTGGTGTAAAGGTGAGACACAATATTCAAACAAAGAGTGTTTTAAACCCCACGCTGATACTAGTAAATACGAATCAAATAAAATCTTCAATTCTTGGTGTAAAGGTGAGAAAACGTACATAAATAATTACAATCAGTTATATAACACAAACACATTGTTCTTTTGTATATTCCCTAAGCACCAGGTATGTACTTACTTTAGTACGTCAGTTTAGGTCACATTGCCATATCTATATCTACAACTCCCGCCCTATAACAAGCTGCGTTTGTCAATATTAAGCTGCCATACTCGTCAATATGTCTGTGGGAGTATAACAATACGTCACGCTTGCACGTATGTCAAATAGGTCTGGTATACACACAAGGAACATTGAAGTGCGAAATCTCCCGTTTCTGCATATGAAGCCCTTCGCCCACATATTAGATTGTAAAGAGAGCACAAAGCGCTAGGTTTACTAAACGTCGCTCACATTCAAGCACTAACATGTTTGACATGTATAGTATGACCAGAAATTATTGAGAATTTTAGGAATATGTTTAATTGGATTTCTAGTGTAAACAACCTTGACCAGCTATCAAGTGCTTGGTTTCATTCAAGAGAGACAACTCCGTTAATCCTTTTTCATTAGTTTGTGAAGAGTTATCCCCCTTTGTTTACTTGCTAGCAGACGACATTTTCAGTGATCCTCAGTATGGATGATTTAGAGACGAGGAAGTTGATTTTAGAGTATTATAACAAGGACATCAGATTAGCTAAAGTGATTTCAAGTAGAACAGGCATCCATTTGTCCCCTGTTTATCGTGTTTTGAAAAATATTGCAAATGGATATGGCATTGAGCACCAGGGAGGCGCAGGTAGGCCCAGAAAATTGACTGTCGGTGACAGGAGGCGGCTTGGTATTCTTGTTTCTAAAAACAAACGAAGGAGTTTAGAAAACTTAAGGCTGGATATGATTGATTGAGGAACTGTGGCTGTCTGTAAGGAGACAATTAGAACTGAGCTGCATGCAATGTGTTGGCAGAAAAGTCGAGGAATTCCATCACCGATCATGAAACCTGAACGAAAGGAGCGAAGGTTGAACTGGTGCTTACAGCATAGAAATGTTAACTGGGACAATGTGATTTTCTCAGATGAAAGTTCTGTGTGGCTGTTTCCTAATACACTGAAATTCTGGACCAAACACCTTCGTATCAGCGCACAAAGTACAGTCCGAAATTTAGCGTGTGGGGTGGCATATCTGTGTTAGGGGCAACGCCCCTCTGTGTATTTGAAGGGAATATGAACAGTGAGCGGTACACAGATATTCTCGAGGGACGTTTACTTCCATCTGCTCACGTGTTCTAAGGAAATGTTTTGATTTTCCAGCAGGACAACGACCCAAAACATCGTTCAAAGCATTCACAGGCCTGGTTTCGGACCCAAAATATGACATTATTAGATTGGCCAAGCTATAGCCCTGACCTAAATCCAGTAGAAAATGTTTGGGGACTTATGAAGGAAAGTGTCAATAAGAAAAATCTGACAAATATTGCTGAAATGAAAGAATAGGTGGTCCGATATTGGGTCAGCATGGACCACGACTTTCTAACTTCTTTGATCAGTAGTATGCCCCGCCGCATTGAAGCCTGCATTGCTGCCCATGGTGACTTGACAAAATACTAACTGTTCACCTGTCTTTGAATCTGGAGTTATGTTCTGCTAATATTCACATTTAATACGTGAGCAATGAGTGAAATTTAAAAAATTACAATCTTAAATTCTCAATAATTTCTGGTTGTACTGTAACTGATTTTTTAAAGTCCATATTTGGGATGTATGTTGATTTACGCCACTGTCGGTAAAATGTAAGGGTTTAGGGTTTAGGGTTAAGGTTAGAATCCAATATGGTAGGTACAGATGTTGTTGTTGTTGTTTTTTCCTTCCAGCATTTGTAATACTTATTTCACCCAAATAACGTCGAAAGTGCACGATGAAATGATTTTATGTCGAAAATTTGGGCTTATGGAAATTATCCTGGAACTTGCACTTAAGCCATTTTCACACTCAACATTTGGGCGCCTACATTTCTTCAGCAATGATTCGAAGGCTAACTCACCCTCGTGGCGTCACCTGACATGTTCATGTCTCCCTCATTCCTCCGTGCGATTCACATTATCCTTATAATGTTCCCTACAACAACTTTCCGTCACAAAATCACCCGATTATTTTTTTTAAAAGCACGTCATTCATGAATACCGTGAATTCGACGTCTGACGCCTGAGGTCAACAGCCGCTGGTTACAGTTCGCGCTATAACGGCTCTTTCCACACCACACGGTATCTTGTAGATTACGGAATGGGACGTATGTGCCAAATGGCATCGGGACCATTCGTGAAGCGTCCGTAGATTCAAATCACGAGACACCAAGGCTACCCGTAACCTTCGTAACTCACGTGACATATTCGACTATTTCCGTTCTTTTCCGTATTACTAACCTCTCAGGAATGACTTACACATTGCACATTGTGCAACAGTGTGGACGGAGCTCAGTCGGTTAGCTGTCGGGCTAACAATCAGCAAGGTCGCGAGTACGCGTCCGACCGATTCTCACAAACTGGTTGCCTGTCTCAGTGACATGTGACCTACGGCTGCAGGGAACGTCATCATGAGAGGTTGTGGCACGGGGGTTCGAATCACTGTTTGGACAATAATTTATAAAAATAAAAACTCTATATTTTTGCAATCGTATATTGTTTTTATATGTTATGAGTAACTTATGTTTCAAATTTGAACGAAATCGGTGAGGAAATAGATTTTTTAGAAAATTCTCCCGCTACACTCATAACATACAGTGTATTTTATGTAATGAGTGTAGCGGGAGAATTTTCTAAAAAATCCATTTCTTCACCGATTTCGTTCAAATTTGAAACATAAGTTACTCTTAACATATTAAACAATATACGGTTGCAAAAATATAGATTTTTTTATTTTTATAAATTATTGTCCAAACAGTGATTCGAACCCCTGTGGGTTGTGGTGCTGAATTCTAAATGTGCTCCCATCAATCACGGGTCCCGCCGCAGAAAGTGATGGTAACTGCCATACGTTAACATTGACAGCCCTAGTGCTAATTGAACGGAACCGCTTTAACTTACAAACCTTAAAAAACGCCAACACCGAGAAAATGATATTCCATTCACGTTGGTAAGATATTACTGCGTCGTAAAATAACAACCATTCACTACTTTTTACCTCTGCTTACAGAGGATGTCGTATACCTCGCTGACCAGAGCTGGATCGCGGAAGCGGTGGAGAACGACTCGGGGGTGTTGTACTATGGGACATTCGATACGATAGGGAGCAGTACCTGGTACTATGGCCAGGTCAGAGCAATACTAACTTAATCATTATTGCATTATTTATTGATATTTTAGTGAGAACTGTGAATTGTGTTGGTACATTTGCTGCATTAAGTTTAACATAAATTAAGCTATCATGATGAGAAGAAACATTTCATTATCACTGTATTGCTGGAGTGATGTTATAAAATAGCACCTTGCATTTATCCTGCAATGGGATCGATCATTTGAACATCATCATCTTCTTCATCATCATCATAATCATCATCATCATCACCATCATCATCATCACGTCGTCGTCGGCGTCCTTGTCAGTTTCCTTTTATTATTACTTTTGTAGTTATTGTTATCATCATTATCCTTGTCGACCACTTATATAGTTCGAGGACGGCATCCTGGACGCCGCTCTACACCTCGTCAGGAAGGGCTTCGACTTCAAGATGACCCGCGCTATGGGGAATGCTACCAAGGTTGCCAGGATTCTGTCAAAGATCGTAAGTCCATGCTCCGGTTGATAATATATGGCGTGAATTGTAGCTGCTAGCAACCACAATTTATCTGTCGACGCTTGGCTGTTCACAAGCCGTTAAATATTACAGACTGCAGAGTAAAATAATGTCCATACAGCTTTTCGTTTGAGGACATTCGCGATCGCCAGAAGAAACATACTAATTAGTTGTCTTTGCCAGGTGAACTCCTCCGACGACAAAGGCGTTCTTACGGGCAACTGGAGCGACAACTACGCCGGTGGCACCAGTCCAACTTCATGGACGGGGAGTGTGAAGATCCTGAAGCAGTACATGTCCACCGGAAAACCGGTCAAGTACGGACAGTGCTGGGTCTTTGCAGGGGTCTTAACTACAGGTAGGGACAACAATCTGTACTGTGATTTGACAGTGGTACTATGTTGTTAAGCAGTGGTTGGCAAAACATTATTCTTGTGCGTGTGTGTTTTGTTTGACAGGATAAGTCCTTGTTTAACTTCAGAAGGAAGCTGTCATTTACATTGTTTAATTTATTCCAAAAAAAGAAAAGTTAGGTATTAAGATTACGGTATGAAATTAAAAAGTTCCAATCAAGTAATGCAACGTTGCATTAAGTCGACTCTCGTGCCCTCTACCGACCGAACTTTATTTCAAGCGAATCCCATAGAGTTATGTCCCTTGGAACGCTCATTATCCTCTAACGCAACATGTGATTGAGGCTGCGTGCGACAGTTTTCGATGTGCGGAGGAATCGGTTCATTCCATATCTGGCAAGTGTTACCTGTTTGGAAGCTGTTCGCCTCGAAGTTTCAATTATCGATTACAGGCAAGTCGTAAGGGATAATAAGTCTTTTCTTGTGTCAGCAGGAAGGTAAAGAGAGTACATATGACCAACATATATGCTAAAGAGCAAAATATTGTCTTCTTTGAGTGGCATTTTAGAAGATGGACGTCAGATAGAACAAGTATATATGGAAGACATATGTGCTCTAGAATAACAGAAGTTGTCATTCCTATATACATGTTGTACCAAAATATTGTCGAAAGCGTGACTTGTGCCTTTAAGAATAGTTCTCCTCAATGTCAGTTAAAGACGTATTTACAACCAATGAAAACGTTCTTCGTTATCATTGATAGCTCTAGATATGAAAGTATCAATGAGTTGACCCGACTAGGGAAGGGGAAGCCATTATTGCCAGTCCCACAACTCCATGTACATATCAATTCATGATTTTAACTACCATGGCAATGTTTTCAATAAACTCCCCACTGTGCCCACAGTGTGCCGAGCCCTAGGACTGCCCTGTCGAAGTATCACCAACTTTGAATCTGCTCACAACAGCGACAAGGAACGTTTAAGCTGTGACGAAATCTACCGGATGAACAGCCGTGGGGACTTCGTAGATATATCCCCGGATTCCGTTTGGTATGTGTTAACTATATAGAAAGTGATTGTTGCCAGGTTTTGTTGGTCTAGGGTGGTGGAACATATCCTATATTTTGGGGATACTTTGTTTGCCTGGTAGTGTACAGTGTAAACGGGCTTGTGAATGTATACATAGCTAAATCGTATAGAGTTTAATGATTCCCTGACATAAATAACTAAACCATATAGAGTTTAATGATTCCTTGACATAAATAACTAAACCATATAAGGTTTAATGATTCCATAGACAATAGTACATAGATTTTTTGTAAAATAGTATACGTTTTATTTCTCATCATTTCTCATCAGGAACTTCCATGTTTGGAACGAGGTGTGGATGAGTCGCCCTGATCTTGGCAGCAGGTTTGACGGATGGCAGGTCATTGATGCCACACCCCAGGAGGCTAGTGACGGTAGGTGCTGAGGGGTAGTAGGTAGGTAGGTAGGTAGGTACGGGGGTGTCAGGGAGAGTAGGTGTAGCAGGGGTCAGGGGAGGGTATGTGTAGCTGGGGTCAGGGAGGGTAGGTGTAGGTGGGGTCAGGGAGGGTAGGTGAAGCAGGGGTCAGGGAGGGTATGTGTAGCTGGGGTCAGGAAGGGTAGGTGTACCTGGGGTCAGGGAGGGTAGGCGAAGCAGGGGTCAGGGAGGGTATGTGTAGCTGGGGTCAGGGAGAGTAGGTGAAGCAAGGGTCAGGGAGGTAAGGTGTAGCTGGGGTCAGGGAGGTCAGGTGTAGGTGGGGTCAGGGAGGGTAGGTGAAGCAGGGGGTGAGAGATTGTAGATTTGTCACAGTTATTTCAGAGCTCGGAGATGGTTTCTGTAGGCTGGTTTGTCAGTTCATGTTTGATGCTTTATCCACATGATATTTACTGATATCGGTCATCGGGTTATAGGCGTCTATTGCTGCGGCCCCTCACCAGTGACAGCCATCAAGGAGGGGCTCATCAACATCGGACAGGACACGGCCTTTGTCTTCGCAGAGGTCAACTCCGACAAGGTGGTCTGGAATGAAAATGCATTGACCAAGAAACTGAAACTAGTGTCAAGAACTCCGAACAGGTAATAAAAAGACAGACCTCTTCCTGCGAAATATCTGACAAAATCAGAGTCTATTGTATGATTCAGACGATGTTATGCGTAACCGAATCACAGATATGCGTGAAAAGGGGAGCGTATCCTGTTCCACCTGGATCAACCGTTACAAACACACGCAAATGCAAGGCAAGTGATCACATGAACAAACATCGGAACAACTCACCTTAACACTTACTATCCTTCTGCAGAAAGTGTTTGGTTCTGAATGCCGTCAACATATATTAATTCCCTCACTGTACAGACAGTCACTTACTCTCATGTTTTAAATCACTGTTCTTTAGTCCTGCGTCAGTATAGTTGAGGAGGATTCGCATCTGATTCCGAAAGAGCTATCAATAACGATTGTACGAGACGACTAGGCTGTTCCAAGGCATTCTGTTCCAAATGTTAGCATGTATTTCAAGGGTTCCACCCTCTTGGGAAATGTCGGTTTTGTTTCTGTTATCCTGTACTCTGGTGTTCTTCTTCACCCACATTCCAGTATTGGGAAGATGATCAGCACCCACGAGCCGACCCAGGAGCCACAGGTCGGGCTGCAGCGACTGGACCTCACTGACCAGTACAAGTACCCTGAGGGTAGGTTCATTGTTACTGGCCCATGCAAAAACATTGATCTTACCTCATACGTAAATGTCGTTTTCTGATTGGTTGAACCAATCAATGTACCCCACTTACAAGCGAGTAACATTTTCTATGTTACCCGTTGGAAATGCCGAACTGTGGTAATTCGTTTGGTACTTCATGTTAGTAGTGTCTGGGCTGTTGCATAACTCCGGTACTCCTTATTATGATCCAATACCCTTGCCTCAAACAGTTCAAAATTATCATTGAGGTGTTCGGTAAGATAAATACGTTGTTCACTGGTCCCTCGGGGCGCATGGGTTGATGTACCCTGTATGTTTGTTTATGTTCCCTGAGCCCGAACATAAACAAACACAGAGGGTACATCAATCCATGGGCCCCGAGGGACCAGTGAACAACTTACAATGTCCTACATGACATCCGTTTGCGAAGCGCCTCGGAGGTCTAAGTGTACCCGGAGATAAGTGTAAAGACTTTAAAATACGGTGCTTGTTGTCTCCCAGCCTGGCGGTGGCCATGACGTTGATAACACGTTGACTGGCCAGCTCTTGGTCTGTATGTCTGCTTTGGGATCAATGTTCAAATTGCATCTTGGATTCTCAGTGAGTTTAGCTCTGTAAAAACAGATATTAGGCCGAAAAAGCGCAAACAGGCGTACACGCCCACCCCAGACTCACACGTTAAATCAATGCAGTAATCTTAATCGCGACGTCAATTAAACACCCGTGAGTTAAAATTGCCAGACAATACGACTTGAGTGCTTTGACACTGCCTGTCAGCATGTTTCGGACAATCTTTGTACTCCACACAGGGTCGAGCCAGGAGCGGGAAGTGGTGCGGCAGGCCGAGGCGATGTTCAGGAAGGATAACCTGGATGTTGACGATGAAGAGCCTCCAGTGTCAGAGGTCAGCGTCTCTTTAATAACCAGCCTGTCTTAAAGGAGAATACTAGACAATTGCAATAATTTGCTGGGTGAAAGATAAAGTCATCAGAAACATGTACCCAAATTTGTATTTAAAAAAATATTGTTTTATTATGTTCTTATCGCGAAAACAGTTTCTGTTATCTGAGCTTCGGCCATTATGCATATTCCGCTGGAACTCACGTGACCTTTCAGCTCGTGACGTCATATGTGACTAGCGTCTACAAGGACAAGCCCTACAGTAATACAAATCGTGTTGTTTCTGTCGTATTTGTAAATGGTACGATGGTGTATTCTATTGCCTGGGGATGCACGGAATCATCAGAACAATGGAAAGAGCCACCATTTCTTCCGTTTTCCAAGTAAAGAGACAGATTTAGACAGGAGAAATGCTCCGATCATTCCGAGTCGGACGCATATGAAAGAGATATGCACACATGGGGTATGAAATTCCCAAAGCTAGGCTGAAGAAGGAAGAAGTACCCACGAGATTCATTTATACTCCATCATTCCCTGTTACAACTTACTGTCAGTGGTATTTTTAACATAAATTAAATCAAGTCAGATTGCCAGTCGAATTGCCCCCGCTACAAATTGCCCCAGCAAATTTGGTCAAATTGCCCTGGAGTTTTGGTCAAATTGCCCCAGGTGGGTAGACAAAATGCCCCAATTTATTTAAAATGACTAAATATAGGCCATAAATGCATAGTTTTGTCAACTTTGATATCATGTTCTTGATATAAAAGTATTAGACTAACGCTTTGTCTCTGAATATATTATTTTTATTGTAACAAATAAACCCATTTAAATTAAAAAGGCCTTGCCTGAACATGTACATCTAATTTAAAAACTGATATATGTCTTGTATAGTATAGTATACTCATGCCAATAATGGTTGTCACCCCCTTCAATTGTTTTCATGGAGAGGGTGGGGTTGGGGTGGGGGGGGGGGTGACAACCATTATTGGCATGAGTATATTTTAGGGATTAGCAGCCACGGATGGTCAGTGTCTATTGCGTATGCAGAGTTGCATCCCTTAGGCGTTCCAGGATCCAGCAAGTGTGTTAAATGTGCATATTTGTTCTCATTGGGAGCCTTCTCTTGTCTCGATCGCTTACTCTTTTAAAGTCACCACTTATACAATATACCTTCCCTGATTTTAAACCCTACTGTGCTCAATCTCTTTTTAAAGCAAATGGTGCATGTTTAAATAGAATAATATGCTACAAAACACGGTAGCTATCGACTGATAGACTGAAACGGATTTGAGAGTTATTTTCCTAGTTTTGCGTAAAAGTAGTAACTGAAATTTGACCCAGGTGCTGAGATTATATTTATTTCCTTTATCTGTTTTATTGATCTTGACAGACTCCGCGCGCACGTGCGTTTGTGTGAGAGGATTTGTTAACGCCATTGTGAGCAATATCGCGGGAAGTCGCACCCATGTGGCATTCGAACCAGGGTTTAAGGCGTGACAAGCGAACGCCATCTAGTCAGCCCCTGTGACCTCAGATATGTACAGAAATGCTTTGAGCAATCAATAGACGAAAGGCATTTGCTTGTTTAACGCCGCGGCGGTCTGTAAATAATCAAGTCTGGACAAAACAATCAAGTGATCAACATCATGAGCATCTATTGGCATGGGACACGATGACATGTGTCAATCAGGTCTGCGATTCTGACCAGCCGATCCCGTCAGTCGTCTCTTACGACAAGCATGGGTTACTGAAGACCGATTATATCCCGGATCTTCAGGGGAAAGGAACACTCTACTGTCTCATTTCTGAAACTGTAACTTCATTTGTGTATTGTGATCATACATTATTATTAAAAATCACTCTAATTACAGTAGCAGAGCGTTTCACACAATAATTTTGTTTGATTTCTAGAGTGTAGAGTTGCGCATCAACGACATAGGGGACGTCCTCGTCGGCAACGGTTTTGACGTCAATGTTAACGCTATCAACAACGGCACCGACGTCCGTACTGTTTCCCTGGCTGTCAAAGTCTTCTACAAGACGTACTTCGGTGTCGTGACAGGGACGGCTGCCCGGTCGGCGGATACAACTACTATAGAGCCTGGAAGGAGTAAGTGCAACATAGCAGTCACGTGACAACCATATACTGAGATAATGCAGGTAGCAGCCAGTCGGTGCGACATTGTAGGCACGTGAGGTAGACTGTACTGAGATATTACAGAGATATCAGAAGCAGATATGGTAGACTCTACTGAGATATTACAGACAGGAGAGTATATTCAACATTGTTGCAAATGAAGCAGATATGGTAGACTGTACTGAGATAATACAGACAGGAGAGTATATTCAACATTGTTGCAAATGAAGCAGATATCGTAGACTGTACTGAGATATTACAGACAGGAGAGTATATTCAAGATTGTTGCAAATGAAGCAGATATGGTAGACTGTACTGAGATAATACAGACAGGAGAGTATATTCAACATTGTTGGAAATGAAGCAGATATCGTAGACTGTACTGAGATATTACAGACAAGAGAGTATATTCAAGATTGTTGCAAATGAAGCAGATATGGTAGACTGTACTGAGATATTACAGAGAGGAGAGTTTATTCAACATTGTTGGAAATGAAGCAGATATCGTAGACTCTACTGACATAATACAGAAAGGAGAGTATATTCAACATTGTTGGAAATGAAGCAGATATCGTAGACTCTACTGAGATAATACAGACAGGAGAGTATATTCAAGATTGTTGGAAATGAAGCAGATATGGTAGACTCTACTGACATTTTACAGAGAGGAGAGTATATTCAACATTGATCCAAATGAAAGCAGGTATCGTAGACTTTACTGAGATAATACAGACAGGAGAGTATATTCAACATTGTTGCAAATGAAAGCAGGATCATGGGCATTACAAGCGGCAGGAAATCGGTACGACATTGAGTGAGTGAGTGAGTTATTATTTAACGTCACATCGGTAATATTTCAGCCATATCGTGACGAGAACACTTGACATTGAAATAGAATATATATAGAGATTAAAAAACCAGTAAAGCAACTAGAGAATCACAGATATATATGTAAAACTAGTAATTGAATCTAAAACATTTTAACTATAGGGGACAACACACTATAAAAATGGGCTATAGATTGCCACCAACTGAAGGTAGATCACCATACTAGGAACCATGGGGACTTACATTACTTTTGCTACCTGCATTGACCCTAGCTGGATTTACACCATCCCTTCAGCCGCTGGCGATTGTAGGATAATTAAGCCGGAATTTAAAAGAACAAAAATACTACGTTTAAAAACTTGGTACGTGAAATTTTACTTTGAAAGTTTTTGGGACGGTGCGACATTGTAGTCATGTGAGAGATATGTATTCAGATATTACATAGAGAGTACATTCAGCAATGCAGGCACTAATCGTAGAGTGAGTGAGTGAGTTAATATTTATCGTCACATCGGCAATATTTCAGCCATATCGTGACGAGAACAGTTTATAATTATAGTAAAGATCAATAAAGTTAGACATTAAATACCTGTTGACGAAGAACAGTAAAACTACTAGTGTATCACAGATATCCATTTAAACTTAGCAATTAAATCTAAAATATTGGAACTATAAATGACAATACAAAATATAAAAACAGGCTATAGATTGCCAACAACTGAAGGTAGATCACCATACTAGGGACCATGGGGACTTACAGTGCATTTGCTTCCTGCATGGACCCTAGCTGGATTTACACCATCCCCTCAGCCGTTAGCAACGTAGACACATCTAGCCATACATTTAAAAACACACATATTCTACGATTTAAAACAGCGGGGAGTTTCAATTTACTTTGAATGTTTGTGGACTTACGTATCCTCTCAGGAGGAGAATAATTTTACAGTACTTTAAACCCCCTTGAGGTACAGCCACTAACAATCTGAGTTATTAATTCAAACTTCCAATCATAAAATATATATTTACAAATCAGTTATCAAATCTAATTCTTTTAAAAATGCAATAATTAAATGAGAACTTATATTACTAACAAGATCCTTCATAGTTCGTGATTTGAAATAGATATCCCTTGTGATGGAAACTAATCGTAGTGATATTACTAGCAGAGGCAACAATGTTGTCATATGAGACACACATCGTACATGCCCGTGAAGATCCGGGTTAGAACTGGTCTTCAACAACCCATGTGTGTTGTAAGAGTCGACTAACGGGATCGAGTGGTCAGGCTCGCTGACTTGGTTGACATATATCATCGTATCCCAATTGCGTAGATCGATGCGCATGATGTTGATCACTGGATTGTATAGTCTTCATCATTTACTGGCCTCCCTAGAGCTGGAATATTGCTGAGTGTGGGGTTAAACAACAAACGAACACATATCGTAAACTATGCTGGGATATTACAAGCTGGAATATTGCTGAGTGGTGGGTTAAACAACAAACGAACACATATCGTAAACTATGCTGAGATATTACAAGCTGGAATATTGCTGAGTGGTGGGTTAAACAACAAACGAACACATATCGTAAACTATGCTGAGATATTACAAGCTGGAATATTGCTGAGTGGTGGGTTAAACAACAAACGAACACATATCGTAAACTATGCTGAGATATTACAAGCTGGAATATTGCTGAGTGGTGGGTTAAACAACAAACGAACACATATCGTAAACTATGCTGATTACAAGCTGGAATATTGGGATGGTGGGTTACATATCGCTGCTGAATATTGCTGGAATATTGCTGAGTGGTGGGTTAAACAACAAACGAACACATATCGTAAACTATGCTGAGATATTACAAGCTGGAATATTGCTGAGTGGTGGGTTAAACAACACATATCGTAAACACATATCGTAAACTATGCTGAGATATTACAAGCTGGAATATTGCTGAGTGGTGGGTTAAACAACAAACGAACACATATCGTAAACTATGCTGAGATATTACAAGCTGGAATATTGCTGAGTGGTGGGTTAAACAACAAACGAACACATATCGTAAACTATGCTGAGATATTACAAGCTGGAATATTGCTGAGTGGTGGGTTAAACAACAAACGAACACATATCGTAAACTATGCTGAGATATTACAAGCTGGAATATTGCTGAGTGGTGGGTTAAACAACAAACGAACACATATCGTAAACTATGCTGAGATATTACAAGCTGGAATATTGCTGAGTGGTGGGTTAAACAACAAACGAAACAACAAACGAACACATATCGTAAACTATGCTGGGGATATTACAAGCTGGAATATTGCTGAGTGGTGGGTTAAACAACAAACGAACACATATCGTAAACTATGCTGAGATATTACAAGCTGGAATATTGCTGGAGTGGTGGGTTAAACAACAAACGAACACATATCGTAAACTATGCTGAGATATTACAAGCTGGAATATTGCTGAGTGGTGGGTTAAACAACAAACGACACACATATCGTAAACTATGCTGAGATATTACAAGCTGGAATATTGCTGAGTGGTGGGTTAAACAACAAACGAACACATATCGTAAACTATGCTGAGATATTACAAGCTGGAATATTGCTGAGTGGTGGGTTAAACAACAAACGAACACATATCGTAAACTATGCTGGGATATTACAAGCTGGAATATTGCTGAGTGGTGGGTTAAACAACAAACGAACACATATCGTAAACTATGCTGGGATATTACAAGCTGGAATATTGAATATTGAGTGGTGGGTTAAACAACAAACGAACACATATCGTAAACTATGCTGAGATATTACAAGCTGGAATATTGCTGAGTGGTGGGTTAAACAACAAACGAACACATATCGTAAACTATGCTGAGATATTACAAGCTGGAATATTGCTGAGTGGTGGGTTAAACAACAAACGAACACATATCGTAAACTATGCTGAGATATTACAAGCTGGAATATTGCTGAGTGGTGGGTTAAACAACAAACGAACACATATCGTAAACTATGCTGGGATATTACAAGCGGGAGAGAGTCGGGGCAATGTTGTAGCTACGTATAGCTGTTTTATTTGTTTGCGTTATAAGGTCGTGAATTCGGCGTGAGTGTGACGCCAAAGCAGGCAATGGCGCACCCCAAAGACGGATTCAACTTCCACATCGAGGCTGTGGCGACTGTCAAGGAGACTGAAAACATCGTCACGAAGACGCTGTCCTTCCGGCTTCGCAGACCCGATATTGTGATAAAGGTATGTTTGTTATTTACCGCTGTGGTCAGCTTGATGTAGGCATTCAGCATTAAGCTCTACAGTGAAGTGACTGATATTCCATGTGATATAGTCGTCAGTAATCCAGGTATAGAGCCGAATCAGGACCAGACAAACCAGTGGTTGATATAAATAACATTTGTTGTTTGACGCCGCACTCAGCAATATTCCAGCTGTATGGCGACAGTCTGTATATAGAATCTGGACCAGACAATCCAGTGATCAACATCATGATCATTGATCTACGCAGTTAGGATACGATGGCGTGTCAACCAAGTCAGCGACCCTGACCACCCGATCTCGTTAGTCGCCTCTTAAGACAACTATTGGCCAATTTTAACTCGGATCTTCACGGGTGCAAATAAATAACGACTGTCACACTGTTGGAAAAGAAAAAATATTCTTATTAAACAAATAAAAATTAAATGAAGTTTTAAAAAAACGACTGATTAAACCAGTATCTGCTTACAATTCAACAATTCAACAATATTCTTTGCTCCTGATCTAGTATATGTTCCTAATAAAAGATATTTATCAGCCGAAAACACATACCATCATATATAATGTCATTCCTTAATTCAGTTGTCGAAAAACCTGTTTTAATCTTTCACAAACATTAACTAAACATTATAATAATTTCTGGAGTGTGCGCACTAATAGGGACAACAACAGGTGTAGTTCCAACTGAAACCTGTTCTTAATTGGTTAACTATCTATCGGCAAAATGACAATTGCTTACACATGCTGTGTCAATGTACATTTCGCAGTCGTCCATTGGTTCACCAGCTTGAATATCAAAGGGAAGCCACTCCTGCTGGGCTAGGCTTGTATCCTCGCTTAATTGTTGTTCAATATATATTTTCAGTTTTGCTCAAACGTGTAAATGTCTCGGGTATCTACTTGTAAGACACTGGTTTTCGGTACCCAAGACTGCTGTTTTTGTAAGGATTACAATAAGCCCAGTAGTTCCTCCATACCATCAGGGCGATGGGGTAGCACAGTGGTTAAAGCGTCCGCTCGTCACGTCAAAGGCCCGGTATCCATACATTGGTACAATGTGTAAAGCCCATTTCTGGTGTCCCCCGCCGTGATTTTGCAAGAATATTTATAAAGGGGCGTAAAACCCAACAAAGGGAATCTCTCTCTGCATAAGACTCCAACGGATACCGCTTCCATCCATTGGCTGTATTCTATAGCTAATTACAGTCTCATGTGTTATATAGGGTCCTTCCACTGGAGACAATAGACGTGGACAGCTCCTTCACCAACCGGCTCCCATCAATATATATGTATATATACTGTCTCATGTCCTGTGTTATATAGGGTCCTTCCACTGTTAAAGCCGGGGAGACAGTAGAGAATGAAATCTCCTTCACCAACCGGCTCCCATCAATATATGTGTATAGATACTGCCTCATGTCCTCTGTTATCTAGAGCCCTTCCACTGTTAAAGCCGGGGAGACAGTAGAGGTGGACATCTCCTTCACCAACCCGCTCCCATCAATATATATGTATATATACTGCCTCATGTCCTGTGTTATATAGGGTCCTTCCACTGTTAAAGCCGGGGAGACAGTAGAGGTGGACATCTCCTTCACCAACCCGCTCCCATCAATATATATGTATATATACTGTCTCATGTCCTGTGTTATATAGGGTCCTTCCACTGTTAAAGCCGGGGAGACAGTAGAGGTGGACATCTCCTTCACCAACCCGCTTCCCGTCCTGATGACCAACTGTACGGTGGAGACTGAAGGCAACATGAAAATGGTGTATCCCGTCAAAGACATCAAAATAGAGTAAGGCACATACATCTACATATCAAAACGCCTTTAAATTTCTGAAATAACCTACACATTCACAGAAACTAGTAGTTTTATGTAGTTCTTTTGACAATCTCTTGATGGATGAGAAACATAACAATATGGGTGATGACCTAATGGAGAATATGTTTTTTTAGTAGTGGTATGATAAACTCATGTTTTACTCACCTCGCCACATTTCAGTATCTCATTTCGCCAAATTTTACCTCATCCAACCTTATATCATCTCACCAACCATCACCTCACCAAACGTCATCAAACTGGACTCTCTTCACCTCACCATATCCATATCAACAAACCTTGCAATAAGTCGCCTCATCTAACTCACCAAATCCCGCGTAATCCAACTTCATATAATCTCACCAATCCGCACCTCGCCAAATCTCACCTGATCAAACCTTAATTCACCTCACCAAATCTCTTCTCACCAAACCTCACCATGTTGACTTGTGTCCTTCAGGAGGATTCGCCCTGGGGATACCTGGAGTAAGGTTATCAAGATGTCCCCCACCGTCTTTCCCCGCAGCCAAAGGAAGAGGGAAGCCAGCTTTAGTCTTGAGTCCGACCAGCTCGGGTCCATTGTTGGAACATACAGCGTCAGGGTGGCTTAGAACCCCAGTGATCATGCGTGTCCTTAGGCTGCCATCAGGACTCTTCCTAGATCTTCATACAATATCTGCACTGTTTCAATGTACTCTTATCACTTAACCCTTTCTAAAACCAATTGCAACTTGCAGATCCATTGACAAATGCCCTCAGCTGTTCCCAACGACAATTAAATGTACATGTTCTTATGTTAAGTGAGTGAGTCAGCTGGGTTTAAACCATGTTGCACCAAGGTGCGTACCTGCTTGGAATCATAAGCCTTGAAGCGGTTGCACTGTCTTTGGTCCAGCTGCAACCACACGAGGTTAAGAATTTCCAGCATACCATAATCGATAAAAGAATTGAGAATTATATTCGTAAATATTTTGGACTGTCATGGGCACATATAAGGACTCTCTGGGCTTCTCTAAGCTTGATTCTATTCCATGTCAACTAATATGACAGGCAAGAATGTAGACACTTGAAATTTCTAAACATTACAAATGTTATCCAAACGCTATAAGGCGAAAAACTTTCACCGAAACAAACTTTGGTTCACACTACAACCATCATACCCGCATCATAACGTCACAATCAAAGAAACATTTCTTGGCTGACATATTTGCGAACATTATGCAAATGTTTCGCATGAAAAGTGCGTCATGTACCTGTTCCTACTCACATGGTATTACCTTTACGAGTTAAATATTTGTTTCAAGGGATTGTTACAAGGGATTGTCGTCCATAAAATTGTATGTCAAAAGGGATGTCTTCAACTTATAAAGAGTCAACTGGTGTTCATGCCTTGCAACATTACATCAGTTCCATCTTCCGGTGTCTACATTATAGAGCTGCCAGGTTCGACACATATGTTACACAGCTGATGCAGTCACGTATGTTAGAATGACATTGTCAGTGGGAAGGTGAGCTACATGATTCATAGTACCACGTTAGTCGCTTTTTAAGCGATCTTAGAGCTAAGGTGATCTTACACCCATAGCTAAATCTACGACTTCGCTTAAGGCTGATTTGTACAACGGGACCCTGGTCGCAAGGGTGTGTTACTAAAACTGGGTCTGCGGTTCCGTTCCTCCATTCAGACTGACCAAGGTTATTTAGCTGAGACAGTTTTATTCAGCCAACCAAAATGAGGGCAGGTTTTCACAATGCCTTAGGGGTTCGACCTTCGTAAATATATGTTACATGATTGAGTGACGAGAATCGCTGCTCTGAAATCGCTTTATGAAAACTGGCCTGTCGCTGTTTGTAAAAAGCTATCCATCTGAATCTACTTGTAAAAATACCGATAGTGCTACCACGATGGATGGGGGTAGGTTAACCGAGTACATGGGTCGGATAAGTAATTTTCACTACCCGAGTCCTGAAGATACAACAAGGACTTGTTCCGTCACGTGTAACTGATAGACTGATGCATTATCTTAGGCATTGTCCCGTCACAGCCCTAACTATCGCCACAGATCTTTTACGTTTCGGGGATCACAGCCGTCGTTTGATGGGGACTTTTGATGGCTACAGGACAACCGACAACACGATGCAATACAATACGACCTTAAAGTTAAATTCGCTGTTCAACTCCAAAATATGCCCTGTGTTCCTTGCCTCAGTGCATAACTGTACATTGTTATAATATGTTGTTTTTCTTGTTTGCTTTCGTTTAAACATACGCTTGATGTACCTGTTGAACGTATGTTGTGACCTTAAATGTAGAATGGGCTTAAGTGTAGAATAGTTACATACGTATTATGTACACCTTCAATGTTGTTGCTTCTGTGCTGTTGCTGATGCCTTGTGGCGCTATAAACTGTGTGATCTTTATAGTGTTATATTTACAAGATGATTTACATGACAGTTTGTATCCAAATTATACTTTTATAGAAATTAAAGTGCTATATCCTTATTGTCGGTATATGTTCTCACTCACTCACTCACTGTCAGTTCGCGTGTACCCTTATTAGTGCGCATGTGTTCTGCGCAGATCTGCTACCGTTCAATATTGTACTTTTGCCCCAAACACCCACCCACCCCACCCCCCTCTCTCTCTCTCTCTCCCTTGATCCAAAAATAGATTCATTATAAATTCCTGTCCTCCACATGGCATGGGTTGATGGGTATTATGTAATCGTCGAAGCTGCAATCAGGGGGTTTCATGTATATAAATATGTGCGGGATCCCGAGCTAGATCACTAACAATTAATTACATCCAGTTAAGCGCAATAAGGGCCGGATCTCCAATAAGCGCCGGGACTGGAAGTCTGTTGAAAAATACGGAAAATTGAGGAAATGCGGTAATCTGAACGATACTGGGATTCGAACTCACGATCGTTTTCTATCATACGTTAGGGATGCACCTAGGCAGAGAGAATTATTGCTTGTGCCATCGTTGTTCCGTTTATCACGTACATTGTACGTACAAGCCATATCAAAATACAGGTTTATCCGGCAAATGAGATGTTATACTGTAACTTTATACGAGACCGTTCTGTTTAGAAGTGTATGTCACTATTAGTGCTCACATCTGTTGTGTGATATTTAGCGCTAATATCATGCAGAAATGGTTGCAGTTCTGCATGATCTTCGTCCCAGCCACGGGCCCGGTGCCCGGTCTGTCTAGCAGTCTTAATTATACACTGTATGCTATCTCTTTGTTGGAAAATATGTGGAAATATATGAGTCAACTTACGTTATGAATCACCAGTATACTTGAAAATGTTATGGACCTGTTAAGAGTACACATAGCCCCAATCTATTGAAAGAGAACCTTTTTTCTGCTTGTTGTGTAACGCCTTAGAATTTTCTGTCTGGACCAGACAATCCTGTCTATCAATGCAATTAGGTTACGATGACATGCCTGAACTAAGTCAGCGAGCCCGAACACCCGATCCCGTCAGCTGCCGATGTTGGGACATGAGATAAAGATAGCGAGCCCGAACACCCGATCCCGTCAGCTGCCGATGTTGGGACATGAGATAAAGATAGCGAGCCCGAACACCCGATCCCGTCAGCTGCCGATGTTGGGACATGAGATAAAGATAGCGAGCCTGAACACCCGATCCCGTCAGCTGCCGATGTTGGGACATTAGATAAATATATCGAGCCTGAACACCCGATCCCGTCAGCTGCCGATGTTGGGACATGAGATAAAGATAGCGAGCCTGAACACCCGATCCGTCAGCTGCCGATGTTGGGACATGAGATAAAGATAGCGAGCCTGAACACCCGATCCCGTCAGCTGCCGATGTTGGGACATGAGATAAAGATAGCGAGCCCGAACACCCGATCCCGTCAGCTGCCGATGTTGGGACATGAGATAAATATATCGAGCCTGAACACCCGATCCCGTCAGCTGCCGATGTTGGGACATGAGATAAAGATAGCGAGCCTGAACACCCGATCCCGTCAGCTGCCGATGTTGGGACATGAGATAAAGATAGCGAGCCTGAACACCCGATCCCGTCTGCTGCCGATGTTGGGACATGAGATAAAGATAGCGAGCCCGAACACCCGATCCCGTCAGCTGCCGATGTTGGGACATGAGATAAATATATCGAGCCTGAACACCCGATCCCGTCAGCTGCCGATGTTGGGACATGAGATAAAGATAGCGAGCCTGAACACCCGATCCCGTCAGCTGCCGATGTTGGGACATGAGATAAAGATAGCGAGCCTGAACACCCGATCCCGTCAGCTGCCGATGTTGGGACATGAGATAAAGATAGCGAGCCTGAACACCCGATCCGTCAGCTGCCGATGTTGGGACATGAGATAAAGATAGCGAGCCTGAACACCCGATCCGTCTGCTGCCGATGTTGGGACATGAGATAAAGATAGCGAGCCCGAACACCCGATCCGTCAGCTGCCGATGTTGGGACATGAGATAAATATATCGAGCCTGAACACCCGATCCCGTCAGCTGCCGATGTTGGGACATGAGATAAAGATAGCGAGCCTGAACACCCGATCCCGTCAGCTGCCGATGTTGGGACATGAGATAAAGATAGCGAGCCTGAACACCCGATCCGTCAGCTGCCGATGTTGGGACATGAGATAAAGATAGCGAGCCTGAACACCCGATCCCGTCAGCTGCCGATGTTGGGACATGAGATAAAGATAGCGAGCCTGAACACCCGATCCCGTCAGCTGCCGATGTTGGGACATGAGATAAAGATAGCGAGCCCGAACACCCGATCCCGTCAGCTGCCGATGTTGGGACATGAGATAAAGATAGCGAGCCTGAACACCCGATCCCGTCAGCTGCCGATGTTGGGACATGAGATAAATATATCGAGCCTGAACACCCGATCCCGTCAGCTGCCGATGTTGGGACATGAGATAAAGATAGCGAGCCTGAACACCCGATCCCGTCAGCTGCCGATGTTGGGACATGAGATAAAGATAGCGAGCCTGAACACCCGATCCCGTCAGCTGCCGATGTTGGGACATGAGATAAAGATAGCAAAGCTAACTGAGACCTAACCTCCGACAAGAATGGGCTGCGGAAGACTAACCCGGATCTTCTCGGGGTTAACACTGAATATATCACCACTATCCTCAACTAATGATTGGCTGTTAACTTTGATGTTGGTAGATGTCTATAGCTATCGTCTATGAGGCAGTGTCAAATACTACCGTGAAGATCCGGGTTAGAACTGATCTCCGGTAACCCATGCTTGTCGTTAGAGGCGACTAACGGGATCGGGTTGTCAGGCTCGCTGACTTGGTTGACACATGTCATGTCATCGTATCCCAATTGCGTAGATCGATGCGCATACTGTTGATCACTGGATTTACAGATCGCCGGCATACAGTGGGAATATTGCTGAGTGCGTCTTTAAACAACAAACCAAATACGTCAGTAGGCTCCTGGGTCTCGATCCACAAAGCGTTCGTATGGTACGACCTTACGTAACACTACACTTTATCATAGGCTTCGAACGTTTTGTGGATAGGGCAAATGAGACGTTATACTGTAACTTTATACGAGACCGTTCTGTTTAGAAGTGTATGTCACTATTAGTGCTCACATCTGTTGTGTGATATTTAGCGCTAATATCATGCAGAAATGGTTGCAGTTCTGCATGATCTTCGTCCCAGCCACGGGCCCGGTGCCCGGTCTGTCTAGCAGTCTTAATTATACACTGTATGCTATCTCTTTGTTGGAAAATATGTGGAAATACATGAGTCAACTTACGTTATGAATCACCAGTATACTTGAAAATGTTATGGACCTGTTAAGAGTACACATAGCCCCAATCTATTGAAAGAGAACCTTTTTTCTGCTTGTTGTGTAACGCCTTAGAATTTTCTGTCTGGACCAGACAATCCTGTCTATCAATGCAATTAGGTTACGATGACATGCCTGAACTAAGTCAGCGAGCCTGAACACCCGATCCCGTCAGCTGCCGATGTTGGGACATGAGATAAAGATAGCGAGCCTGAACACCCGATCCCGTCAGCTGCCGATGTTGGGACATGAGATAAAGATAGCGAGCCCGAACACCCGATCCCGTCAGCTGCCGATGTTGGGACATGAGATAAAGATAGCGAGCCCGAACACCCGATCCCGTCAGCTGCCGATGTTGGGACATTAGATAAATATATTGAGCCTGAACACCCGATCCCGTCAGCTGCCGATGTTAGGACATCAGATAAAGATAGCGAGCCTGAACACCCGATCCCGTCAGCTGCCGATGTTGGGACATGAGATAAAGATAGCGAGCCCGAACACCCGATCCCGTCAGCTGCCGATGTTGGGACATGAGATAAAGATAGCGAGCCTGAACACCCGATCCGTCTGCTGCCGATGTTGGGACATGAGATAAAGATAGCGAGCCTGAACACCCGATGAGATAAAACAGCTAGCCCGAACTTACCCGATCCGTCAGCTGCCGATGTTGGGACATGAGATAAAGATAGCGAGCCTGAACACCCGATCCGTCAGCTGCCGATGTTGGGACATGAGATAAAGATAGCGAGCCTGAACACCCGATCCGTCAGCTGCCGATGTTGGGACATGAGATAAAGATAGCTTGAGCCTGAACCCGATCCCGTCAGCTGCCGATGTTGGGACATGAGATAAAGATAGCAAAGCTAACTGCATGAGACCTAACCTCCGACAAGAATGGGCTGCGGAAGACTAACCCGGATCTTCTCGGGTTTAACACTGAATATATCACCACTAACCTCAACTAATGATTTGCTGTTGCTTTGATGTTGGTAGATGTCTATAGCTATCGTCTATGAGGCAGTGTCAAATACTACCGTGAAGATCCGGGTTAGAACTGATCTTCGGTAACCCATGCTTGTCTTTAGAGGCGACTAACGGGATCGGGTTGTCAGGCTCGCTGACTTGGGTTGACACATGTCATGTCATCGTATCCCAATTGCGTAGATCGATGCGCATACTGTTGATCACTTGATTTACAGATCGCCGGCATACAGTGGGAATATTGCTGAGTGCGTCTTTAAACAACAAACCAAATACGTCAGTAGGCTCCTGGGTCTCGATCCACAAAGCGTTCGTATGGCACGACCTTACGTAACACTACACTTTATCATGAGGCTTCTGAACGTTTTATGGATATTAGTGCCGCTCGGCGTCACATGGTTACAAAACTATCTTAGCTCAAACACTTGTAGTCTCTTACTCCCGTTATGCCACTTAACACAGCGTTCAGCTGGCTTGCTTGTTAGTACAAGACTCTGGACGGGATACGCCGGTTGGTGATTGTTAACACCGATCCGAACTCTGTAAATAATCGAGTTATAACCAGTCAGTCCAGTTGGGCTATGGTAGCCGTTCAACGATGTTTGGGACATGAGATAAAAAAATCAGTCTGACATTAAGGTGACGAACACCCGATCCATCGGCTGCCGATGTTGGAGAATAAAGATGCACTCTAACCTAAAGTCGGATGACAGCGGAGTCCTGGCACACCCGTAACCGGTAGAACTGATCTTCGGTAACCCATGCTTGTCTTTAGAGGCGACTAACGGGATCGGGTTGTCAGGCTCGCTGACTTGGTTGACACATGTCATGTCATCGTATCCCAATTGCGTAGATCGATGCGCATACTGTTTATCACTGGATTTACAGATCGCCGGCATACAGTGGGAATATTGCTGAGTGCGTCTTTAAACAACAAACCAAATACGTCAGTAGGCTCCTGGGTCTCGATCCACAAAGCGTTCGTATGGTACGACCTTACGTAACACTACACTTTATCATAGGCTTCGAACGTTTTGTGGATAGGGCCGCTCGGGTCACATGTACAAAACTATCTTAGCTCAAAACTAGTCCTTACTCCCATGCCATAACACAGCGTTCAGCTGGCTTTGTGGTACAAGACTCTGGACGGGATACGCCGGTTGGTGATTGTTAAACACCGGACTCTGTAAATAATCGAGTTATAACCAGTCAGTCCAGTTATTGGCACCGTTAACAAAAAATCAGTCTGCTTAATTTTGATTGGAGAATGTGCATCAATAAAGTCAACGAGTCTGGCCACCCGTTCTCTATTAGGTTGACCACTTCTCTGCTGAAGACCAATTCAAATCCCGGGTCTTCAAGTGCGTTCAGTTGTTCAATTGAATGAAGGAAAACATTAGATCTCGCCTTTCAGATTGTGAAGGCCCTGTCGAAGAAAAAGTGAACATAGTTACAGTGACTTTACCTTCCGGGAGTACCAATTCAAATAAATTACTTATACATAAAGTTTTAGACTTAGCCGATGCAAAGAAAGTCTATTAAAGAAGAAGGTGAGCCCCAGTACCACTGATACAAAACTGGAATATCTAATCATATCCAATCAGGGATAACACCTGGCCTTCCTGGAGCGGACGAGATACGGACCGGAAGTTACGCCATTATGACGTAATCCGAAGTACCTATCAATGACGCCATCAGAAGTCACAGTGTCGTCACCGAAGGTATCATAAACCAATAATTACGTCCACCAAATCTTTAAATACAGCAGCAAGAGACGGTCTCGACTCACAAACGCAGATCTGTTGGTTGGGTTGTTTGTTGTTTAACACCGCACTCAACAATATTCCAGCTATATGGCGTCAGTCTGTAAATAGTCGAGTCTGGGCGAGAAAATCCAGTGATCAACAACATGAGCATCGATCTATGAAATTATTATACGATGACATGTGTCAACCACGTCAGCGAGCCTGACCACCCAATCCCGTTAGTCGCCTCATACGACAAGCATGGGTTAATGAAGACCAATTCTAACCCGGATCTTCTACGGGTTACAGATCTGTTTGTCTAATCTAGAAACATCTAGATTTCCCATATGGGCACAATGTGTGAAGCCCGTGTCCCTCCGCCGTGATATTGCTGGAATATTGCTAAAAGCGGCGTATCACTCACTCACTCACTCACTCATGTGAAATGTTTGATGAAGGTTTTGCAGCAGAAACTTGCAAACATAATGATGAAGGTAATAGTATAACATGATTTTCATGGTCAGTGTTGTTTGCTACAACAGAAAAAACTTAATTGCAGTGTGTAATTATTGGTACTGTATGTCAGTGATTCATTCCGATTCAACTCCATTATAGACATGTATTCACATCAACTATTGCAAAATGAAACAAAAACATGAATTAGGCTGAAAATCTCATATCTAAGATCCTTGACTAGAATGTCATTACACAGTGGTACACAATTGACAAGACTTAGGCGTTTATGATGAATTGATAACATATGTCCTATTATGAAACAAACAAATATAACAATATAATGTGAATTGTGAAATGGTCACTCAGAGCCAGAGGCTCATTTAATAAGTCAAAATAATAGATTGGTCCGTTTGAGGCCACTTAATTCCTCCAAATGTCACCATTGAAATAATTGAAATCCACAAAACTTACAGCATTTGGTAGAAAATTTGTCCCTTTTGGAGCCACTTATCAAGATCCACTTGTCGAATGTTACATGAAACCAACAGAAATAAAAGTTTGGCACTTTTAGAGCACATTTGTTGCTATGGAAATCAAGGGCAGATAATTCAAAGGGAGCTAACTCTGGATGACCAGAGAATTGAAGAATTTGAACCACATCGCGATAATAGTATCACGAGATATTGTACCGGTAAATACTGGTGATATTGCACAGCCCTGCATAAAAGTATGCAGTCGCTTTCTAACTTGCAGCAGGTGTCTAACAGCTCCAACATGCATCTCATTCTCTATACATTCATGTCATTGTAGCAGGTATAACAGAACTGCATCATATTCATCATTATATACACAAAGGACTTAAATACCCCTGACATATCTCACGATTGAATGAGCCCCGATCTTAACCCTTTGGAACATATCTGGGACATGATTGGTCGTCGTGTGCAATAAAGGGATCCTCCTGTAAGTAACCTGGTCCAATTGGAAGCTGCTTTACACGAGGAATGGCGTAGACTGCCCCTTCAGAGGATCAGGAGGCTGACAAGGAGTATGAGGAGGAGAATGCTGTCTGTCATACGGTCACATGGAGGTCAAACTCGGTAAGATACCCTTGTCAAATACCCAAAATGACATTTTGAATCTTCACATTCACCAATAAATTCAACATTAATCTTTTCATGGTCATACTTGTACGGGCATAGTTTTGTATGAACTCAGTGGGGATTTTTTAAAATGAGCACTTATCATCATAAAACCAAAAGGGATTCCAATCATTTTGTCGTTTTTATGAGTCAAAGGAGCATAGGGGTCAGAAAAGCTGATTGGTGATTTTCCATCGTGAAATCGACAGACACTTGCTGGAAGATCAGCCGGGTAATCAACAAGCGTGTGTAGTTTGTAGTGAAATTTAGATCAATTTCACATGTGAAACTCGCACACCTGGCTGTTCTACCAGCTAGTTCTATTGCGTTCGACTTTGTAATCTGTGCACCACATAACAGATCGCATTACGTACGTTCACCTTTCCGCGAACACCTGTATCATCAATATTTCATAGTGATATGTTCGTGATAGAGTCGGATCTTACTGTGGACACAACCTCTGCAGATATAACTGAAAGAAAGGGAATAACAAGCTAAATGCTTTTTCTAAACATATAAATAACGTGAGAGCGCATGATAAAGATAGTTTATAACTGCTTCAGTAAATGGCTTGCACTGAGCTAAGGGACTTTACTCTGGTTTGTGTACCAGTGAAAACCATGTGCTCGTTACTCTGGTTTGTGTACAACTTAAAACCATGTGCTAGAGAGGAAGATATGCCTTCACACGTCAGTACGTTTTAATGTTCATATGTTTGAAGCATCTGTACATGGTTGGGCACGACAGTAAATATACCATTTATCCACCCGGTTCCGCGTCGAACGACTCATCTCAGTTCAAAAGTGCAGTTGCAAAAGGACAGTATCTGTAGGTCACAAATGTATATGTTTTTGTGATTTTTGTTCGTTCTCTACATACACTGAGTCACAAAAAGCTAAAGAAAACAATAAGACGATGCTTTCGTTTCTCTAGTTTAGGATTTCAGTGACAGATCACTGACTCCCTGAGTCTGTAATTCAAAGTACGTTTCTTGGTAGATTTTCACTTGCCATTTCTGTATCACTGGTGCATCCTGACCACGGAGTTACGGTCGACGTTCCATTGATCTAGTAGGATTCCTTTCTCTGTTTATTATTATCGATCATAAGGGGAAACAGGCCACTGACAATATTCTTGTCGAATGAGGTGGTTAGGGAGATACATACAATACAATACAGCCGCACTTCGACCCGTGAAGATCCGGGTTAGAATTGATCTTCAGTAACCCAATGGTGGCGCAAGAGGCGAATAACAGGATCGGGTGGTCAGGCTCGCTGACTTTGTTGACACATGTCATCAGTTCCGAATTGCGTAGATAGATGCTCATTCTGTTGATTGTCTGGTTCAGACTTGATTATTTACAGACCGCCGCCATATAGCTGGACTATTGCTGAGTGCGGCGTAAAACTAAATTCACTCACTCATTTTGCTTTCACATACAAATACATATAATGATTATGTACATAATTATGTGATTATGTGGGCATACGTTGCTAGTGATTTTAATCATTTTATCAATTTTGAACACAAAGAATACACATGCATAGCGATCAGTGAACTCATTTATGAACGTTATGTAATGGGCGGCGTATATCAGGAATACATTTGGAGAATTGGAAATATTTGATTATAAACTTATGGAAGGTATATTCCATACCACAACAACGTGACGTTTCCTTCTTTACATTTGCAGCTATTGGCTTTTAAAAAACAACTTCCGAGAAAACCAGCTCTTGTGAAAACTGGCTGACGTCAGACAAACGCTTCATGATAACGTCTAAAATATGACATTTGACACATTTCAGTCTAATGTTTCCTTCACATATAGTTTAATCTAGACTATACCGGTTGTAAAATGAACGCAGTCCATAAAGTGCTACTCTAAAATTACATGGATCGATGGGGCCAAGCCCGTCGTATATCATACCTTGTACGTAATACAAGTTTTTGATAAAGGAAGTAACAATACAACAATGCATGCTGATCCAGGTTTTAACCCGAATACAACAATGCATGCTGATCCAGGTTTTAACAACAATATAACAAAGCATGCTGATCCAGGTTTTAACACGAATACAGCAATCCATGCTGATCCAGGTTTTAACAAGAATACAACAATGCATGCTGATCCAGGTTTTAACAAGAATACAACAATGCATGCTGATCCAGGTTTTAACAAGAATACAACAATGCAGGCAGATTTGCAGGCTGATTTTAACAAGAATACAACAATGAATGCTGATCCAGGTTTTAACAAGAATACAACAATGCATGCTGATTCAGGTTTTAACAAGAATACAACAATGCATGCTGATCCAGGTTTTAACACGAATACAACAATGCATGCTGATCCAGGTTTAAACAAGAATACAACAATGCATTCTGACCCAAGTTTTAACCGATGTAATGTTCAGTGTGGTCCCGGACTTCTATCTTCAGCTTGATTGCCTCTTTTGGCACAATTCGTCCAATGGTTGGGTACTGCAACTCCAGCAATTTCTGCAACGTAACATGTCAGTACCTTTTTAATGCATTTTTTTTATGTTAAAGACATCTGTAACCTATACAATATTGAGTATGGCGTGGATTTTCACAACTTCAAAAGATTTTGTTATGAATGTGGAGAGGGTTTTGTAGATTTTATTGAATATTTAATTCCCCCCAAAATGTAAAAAGTTAACTTCTGCCACAAAGTTTTGATCGACTTACTACATCACCTTCCCCATTGTAAAGAAATAAACTCAGAACACAACGAGAAGTGCTTGATATCCTGTGTGAAATTTGGTAATAGGACGCTGAGAGAATAAATGATTATGAACGACAGACATCGAGTTATGCTTGGGAATTAATAATTGTGGCAATCTTTGAAGCTGTTTATGTACATTTGCCTGATCCTGCAATATGGTATCTTTGTGGAGTTCTTTCCGACCAACGAAATGAGTACAAAAGACACACGTAGTAATTTTTCGTTATGACCTGAATGATTGGCAATCAAGAAACGTCAACGAAGCCCTTAAATGAATCAAAAGCCCCTCACAGGCATCTCAGGATGTGTGGCAAACTTAACCCTTCTGAGGACATGGATGACGGCAATCTTCATCGTGAGCATGGCCAGTCTGACTGCAAGGCACTGACGTTGACCATAACCAAACGGAAGCCAAGCAAGTGGGTTGATGCTGCCTTTCCATCTGAAGACGAACAAAGAATGAATGATACATTTGTGTGATACTGTTACAACAGCAAACAAATACGTCATTTGTGATACTGTTGTCTTCGACTGAAATTGGCACTGAAACAGATACTTTGAACAACATCTGTTTTCATTCTTCATTGTAAGGAACAGCTTAACTATAGCTATTTAATTGATATATAACACATACTTCAATTATTACTGTCACTTATCCCTACATTTTACATTTTATGTTCTCTGAACATTGTAACACATTTCACCAAATACATTTCTTTTAAAAAGTTATATAGATCATATTTCGTGATTTACAGTATACTTGTTTCAAGATTCCCCAAATTCAACTACAAAATTATCTCAATACTAATATATCTTCTAATGTATATTCTCTAGCAAATCATTGTAACGCCTATTTGCCTCCACTACATTCTGCTACTTTTGTTAAAATCGGCCAAAGTAAGTGAGTTAAAAATTTAAGTCACATCGGCAGTATTTCAGCCATATCGGGACTTTAAAAGTTTTGTATTAATATAAACGAAATATATATATATATACCTGACAACAAAGGACAGTAAAATAACTAGATTATCACAGATTGATATATAAAACTAGCACTTAACCACATAACGATATTTCTATACACGACACATTAGAAAAAATGGCAATCGATCGCCAGCAACTGAAGGCAGATCACCGTACTAGGCACCATGCGGACGTACATGCTACCTGCATGGACCCCGGATAGATTTACACCATCTCCTCAAATGTCAGCGATGATTTAGAAATTTAGCGAAATCAATCATAACTATTAATGATATCATTAATTCAGACTACTGCTACGTCATTTAAACAACAACTACAACACCTTCTTCTACATCCACCACGATTGTGACTACTACATGACATAATGAAATTGAGGTGTTCCAGTCATTCGCAATTCGCTGCGCAGAGCTGCCTCCCTTAGAAGTGGCCGATCATGTTCATGGATTCGAACTCCAGTTCTGCCCTGACTGTGTTTCTTCTTTTGTTCGCCTCAAAGATGTTAACATTTCTACAACATCATCTCTGTTTTTCCACATCAGGATGTCATGCTGCCACGTGACTGGATTGATTCTAATCAATGCGCATTTGATGCAAACTCACTCACTCACTTATAATGAAACCAGTTAAGTACGCATACATGTATAGCTACAAATGTCCTGAAAATAGAACCCTCGGATGTACCTACCGATCGGGCTGGAAGGTATCTGGCTCATCAAAGTAGTCTGGGTCTCTCTGTATCTCCAACAATGGTACGATAACAGTTGAACCTTCGGGGAAAGTGTAACCCTTGATGGTAACTGTGTTTGCTGTTTCTCTACCCATGCTGCAATAAAACAAATCCACACATGAGTAAATTGCTGCTGTTCTACAAGATACAGGTCTGGGTAGAGTTATCTCATCTTGGCTTTTCCTCGTCAACATAATTAATAATGATGCATACGATTTTATGAATATGAACTTCTTGTTTATAGCATAGCTACTTTAACTTGATCAACACCGAAGTCGTATGCTTCATTATTGACTCATCAACTTCTAGATAGCCGACCAAACAATCACATAATGTGTGTATGACCTCATAACGGAGTTTCGACAGTTAAATACAGGAATATGCATATATTATGTTACTTTACCACATTACTTGCTGATGATACACTTATCAGTTTACAGTTGTAGATACAGTTGTTAATTACGCACCCAAATGGCGATTAAGATAAAATGTATCGAAAAGTAAAATTGTTGTGTTTAATGTAATAAGGCATTTATTGTGGAAGCCTTATAAGTGTAAGTAACTTAACCAAAGTCATTGTCTTCAAGAGTGGTGGATTACTCTCTAAACATGAAAAGTGGTACTATAAAGGTTGTAATTTGCAATGTCTTACACACTATAAATATTTAGGAGTTGTTTTTGCAAAATCTCTGTCTTGGTCAAAGCATGTTGATAATGTATTAATACAAGCCAAACGTGCCTTATTCCCAAACGAGCTCATTGTCACAAATCAAGCCACTGCCTTTGAAACTATTTTTTAATATTTTTCACTCTAAAGTTGTGCCAATTTTAATGTATGGGTTGGAGATTTGGGGTCTGTCATATTGTAAGCAAATTGAATCAGTACATGTTCTTGCGTGTAAACGCTTTTTGGGCGTTAAGTCCGCAACTTCCAATCACGTTGTGCGAGGAGAATGTGGTAGATACCCACTTTATATAACCGTCTATAAAAATTGCATAAAATATTGGTTAAAATTACTTAATATGCCTGATTACCGATTTCCCCAAAAAAGCTATGATATGTTGTTGCAATTGTCAGTTTATGGAAAATGTAACTGGACTTAAGGAATAAGATCCCTTTTGTATGAATATGGTTTTGGATATATCTGGGAAAGACAAAAAGGAGATCGTGCTGAAGTTTTTCTTTCAGAGTTTGTTTTCCGTCTGAAATGTTCATATGAACAAGAATGGCATACATGTTTGGTTAATAGCTCTAAGTCTACCTCGTATATGTTGTACAAACAACTTTTTGAAGCAGACTTTTATCTTTCAGTAATTACAGTCCATAAGTTTCGACTGGCACTTGCTAAATTTCGCTGTAGCTCACATTCTTTAGCCATGGAGGAAGGCAGATATCTCAATGTACCAGGGAATGAAATAATTTGTAAAGTCTGTAACTGTGGTTATATTGAGACAGAATATCATTTTTTATTGATCTGTGCAGTTTTTGATAATCTACGTCAACGATACATTGTCAAGAAATATTATGAATATCCTACTGAGACAAACTTTAATATACTCATGTCTTCTAACCAAACATCTGTTGATAGAAACTTAGCCTGTTATATTTACCATGCCTCGCAGCCTAGACAGGTTATAGTAAAGTGAACTACCTTATACCTCTTGTACATCTCTGTAACACATATACATGTATTTAGCCATTGAAGAAGGCAGATATCTCAAAGTACCAAGGAATGAAATAATTTGTAAAGTCTGTAACTGTGGATATATTGAGAACAGAATATCATTTTTTATTGATCTGTGCCGTTTTTGATAATCTACGTCAACGATACATTGTCAAGAAATATTATGAATATCCTACTGAGACAAACTTTAATATACTCATGTCTTCTAACCAAACATCTGTTGATAGAAACTTAGCCTGTTATATTTACCATGCCTCGCAGCCTAGACAGGTTATAGTAAAGTGAACTACCTTACACCTCTTGTACATCTCTGTAACACATATACATGTATTTAGCCATTGAAGAAGGCAGATATCTCAAAGTACCAAGGAATGAAATAATTTGTAAAGTCTGTAACTGTGGATATATTGGAACAGAATATCATTTTTATTGATCTGTACAGTTTTTGATAATCTACGTCAACGATATATGGCCAAGAAATACTATGAATATCCTTATGTGGCAGAATTTAATATGCTTATGTCTTCTAACATCTGTTGATAGAAACTTAGCCTGTTATATTTACCATGCCTCGCAACCGAGACACACTATAGTAAAGTGAACCAACTACCTCATACCTCATGTACATTCTCTGGAATACATTATACATGTATGTACATACTTATATGTAATGGGCCAATAAATGATGTACCAGGGGCCGTTGACTCACATCTCTACTGAAATAAAGAATCAATCAAGTGACTCTTTGTTGGAATTACTTTTGTAAATTATGTGTGTGAACAGTCGGATGGACACAGGTGGTGGTGGTCAGTTGGACAAACTGAGTTATATATTGGAGGGTGAACAGTCGGATGGACTGAGATGACGGTAGTGGTCCGTTGGATACACTGTGTGTACAATGGAGGGTGAACAGTCGGGTGGACTGAGGTGACGGTAGTGGTCAGTCGGATGGACTGAGATGGCGGTGTTGGTCAGTTGGATAAACTGTGTGTACATTGGAGGGAGAACAGTCGAACGGACTGAGATGACGGTAGTGGTCAGTTGGACAAACTGTATGTACAATGGAGGGTGAACAGTCGGATGGACTGAGATGACGGTAGTGGTCAGTTGGACAAACTGAGTTGTACATTGGAGGTGAACAGTAGGAAGGACTGAGATGACGGTAGCGGTCAGTTGGATATACTGTGTGTATCTGGAGGGTGAACAGTCGGATGGACTGAGATGACGGTAGTGGTCAGTTGGATAAACTGTGTGTACAGTGAAGGGTGAACAGTCGGATGGACTGAGATGACGGTAGTGGTCAGTTGGATAAACTGTGTGTACAATGGAGGGTGAACAGTCGGATTGACTGAGATGACGGTAGTGGTCAGTTGGATAAACTGCGTGTACAGTGGAGGGTGAACAGTTGGATGAACTGAGAGGACGGTATTGGTCAGTTGGATAAACTATGTGTACATTGGAGGGTGAACAGTCGGATGGACTGAGATTACGGCAGTGGTCAGTTGGATAAATTGTTTGTACAGTGGAAGGTGAATAGTCGGATGGACTGAGATGACGGTGGTGGTCAGTTGGATAAACTGTGTGTACATTGGAGGGTGAACAGTAGGAAGGACTGACATGACGGTAACGGTCAGTTGGATAAACTGTGTGTATCTGGAGGGTGAACAGTCGATCTGGAGTGTGAACAGTCGGATGGACTGAGATGACGGTAGTGGTCAATTGGACAAACTGAGGTGTACATTGGAGGGTGAACAGTAGGATGGACTGAGATGACGGTAGTGGTCAGTTGGATAAACTGTGTGTACAGTGGAGGGTGAACAGTTGGATGGACTGAGATGACGGTAGTGGTCAGTTGGATAAACTGTTTGTACAGTGGAAGGTGAACAGTCGGATGGACTGAGATGACGGTGTTGGTCAGTTGGACAAACTGAGGTGTACATTGGAGGGTGAACAGTAGGATGGACTGAGATGACGGTAGTGGTCAGTTGGATACACTGTGTGTACATTGGAGGGTGAACAGTCGGATGGACTGAGATGACGGTAGCGGTCAGTTGGATAAACTGTGTGTACAGTGGAGGGTGAACAGTTGGATGAACTGAGAGGACGGTTGTGGTCAGTTGGATAAACTGCCATTACAGTGGAGGGTGAACAGTTGGATGAACTGAGATGACGGTAGTGGTCAGTTGGATAAACTGTGTGTACATTGGAGGGTGAACAGTCGGATGGACTGAGATGACGGTAGTGGTCAGTTGGATAAACTGTGTGTACATTGGAGGGTGAACAGTCGGATGGACTGAGATGACGGTAGTGGTCAGTTGGATAAACTGTGTGTACATTGGAAGGTGAACAGTCGGATGGACTGAGATGACGGTAGTTGTCAGTTGGATAAACTGTGTGTACATTGGAAGGTGAACAGTCAGATGGACTGAGATGACGGTAGTGGTCAGTTGGATAAACTGTGTGTACATTGGAAGGTGAACAGTCAGATGGACTGAGATGACGGTAGTGGTCAGTTGGATAAACTGTGTGTACATTGGAAGGTGAACAGTCGGATGGACTGAGATGACGGTAGTTGTCAGTTGGATAAACTGTGTGTACATTGGAAGGTGAACAGTCAGATGGACTGAGATGACGGTAGTTGTCAGTTGGATAAACTGTGTGTACATTGGAGGGTGAACAGTCGGATGGACTCAGGTGGTGGTGGTCAGTTGGATAAACTGTGTGTACATTGGAAGGTGAACAGTCGGATGGACTGAGATGACGGTAGTGGTCAGTTGGATAAACTGTGTGTACATTGGAAGGGGAACAGCCGGATGGACTGAGATAACGGTTGTGGTCTGTTGGATTAATTGCAGATGAAGCTGATGTCAAGAACATCACAATGATCAGCATACCTCTGTCTATTAGAGAGTTGCTTCTATTAGAGATCGGTACTCGCATCGCAAATAAGGTTCTCTCATATCCAGTATATGACATTTCATATCAAAGGTCTTTGTCATGTCTAACACGAACACGCCTCTCGAACGGATTCTAAGAAATCTGTCGGCCCTTCGCTAAATTCAAGGAGAAGCTAATGGGTGCTACTAGTACAAGTGTGCTTGTGTAAAATTGTTTTGCATTGAAAGTGTTTCAGTTTATTAACGTTTTTGATCAGTACAAATGTGTTAAAATTAGAGATTTATAGAAAACTCGATTTCCGCATTAACTATGAAGTAAAGTGGGACATTATTTCAGATTACCCACATGGTCACGTGGCTCCTAATTTGCTTCAGCTAAGTTCAATATAATGGTCATTTGGAATTGCCAAAATACAAAGAGACTAAGTATCATTGGCTGAAAGTTCATTTTGAATAATCCAATTGCATATTGCAAAGAGAAATTTCACCTGAGAGACAAATTCAGCCTTATTA